TCCAAAGCGTTTGATCAAGTGAATCATAAAAAACACTTTTTACTAAATTAAAGCAAAGGGGTGTGCCTTGAGGTGTTGTGAGAATGCTTGCCTATTGGTATGCCCACCAGAAGATGCGTGTTAAATGGGGTGGGAGTATTTCTGGTCCCTTTAGTGTGTCCAGTGGGGTAAGGCAGGGTGGAAATTTACCTCGTGTTTTGTTCAACTTATATGTTGATGAGCTATCTAGGCGTCTGAGAGCTTGTAACGCAGGCTGTTTGATAGGTGATGTTTTGAATAATCACCTTATGTATGCGGATGACCTCGTAGTTTTTAGCCCAAGTAGTGCAGGACTGCAGCAGCTCCTAGATGTTAGTACTGGGTATGGAATGGAATATGATTTAAGAAATAACTTGTGCAAAAGTGTTGTTCTAATCTACAGAACCACCCAGGATAAAAGCCTTAATTTTCCTGTGTTTAAGTTGTCCAGCAACAGTCTTGCGGTCTGTGAAAAGATAAATATCTTGGACACTTTATCACAGCCAATATGAGCGACGATGATGATATAGGCAGTGTTGCAAGCTATACGTGCAAGCAAACACCATTGCACGGAAATTCAGCTGTTGTTCCACACCTGTTAAAGTGGCATTATTTAAAGCATACTGCACACCACTATATCTGTGGTCATTCTATAAAAAGTCTGGCTTGCACAGGTTACAAGTGGCATACAATGATGCAATGAGAATCCTCCTCAAAATTCCCAGGGAGGCAGTGCTAGTCAAATGTTTGTTTCTGTGAGAGTGCGCACATTTAAGGCACTTCTAAGAAATTTAATGTTTAAGTTTATGAGACGGCTGGAAGAATCTTCCAATAGTATTATAGTTGCACTCTCAAATCCCACTGTGAGCTGCTCTCGTTATACGTCTAGGCTGAGAATGCACTGGTTAAAATGTTTGGGTAGATTTATCTCAGCTGTTAGTTTTGTTGTCCCTTACCTCCACTGCAGTTATATCCTGTGATTTTATATAGGCTTTTATTGGTATTAATGTTAATTATCCTTTCTTTTCTTGTGTTTTTATTAAATTAAAAGGCATCAAACTGTGTCGCATTTATTTCTTTTATCTGTATGTTTCTTTTAAAATGGACTTTAAGTCTGGCAATAAACTTATTTCAATTTCTAGGCACTCAAAGGGCTTTCCATTATTCATGCACTCTCACATTCACACACTGCCAGTGATGGTAAGATACTACGTAGCCACAGCCGCCCTGGGGCGGTCTGACATAGGCAAGGCAAGGCAGTTTTATTTAAATAGCACATTTCATACACAGAGTCAAATCAATGTGCCTTCCATTGTTTAGGCGATGCAAGGCAATGCTGCAATTTAGCCCCATCTGCTCCCCTGACCACCACCACCACCAACAAAGACAAGTTAGGTGAAGTGTTTCCTCCTGGTGGGAGTTGGGATTGATCTCAATCCTCTGATCATGAGGCAACCCATTTGCCTCCTGAGGTAAAACTGCCAACAGTAGTCAGCACTGGTTGTTTTTCTTGTGAAATTCCCATTAAGTTTGATGTGTCACATGACCCTCTTCCTATTGAAAAAACAAAAATTGTCCGACTTCAAAATGGCCACCATGGTCACCACCCATCTTGAAAAGGGTTTCTCCTCACATACACTAATGTGCCACAAACGGGGCATTGATATCACTAACCATTCCCATTTTATTAAGGTGTATCCATATAAATGGCCCACCCTGTAGAACCGGGTCATTAATAGCTGAAGGTTCTGTGGGTCTCACCAGTGCTGTGAGCAGCAGGAGAAGCAGCAGGAGAACCAGCGCTGCCAGAACCAGCAGAGCCACCCCCCATCCAGGAACCCCCCACCTGCTGATGGCTGCCGGGGTGGAAGTGGTCGGATCCGTGTTCGGTTTATGGTTTGGGTTTGGGGTAATGGTTCCGTTGATGTGTGAGGTTGAAGGCGGGTGTGTGTTTGTCCTCGATGTTGGGTTCTGCTGTGTGACGGGTCCTTTTGTAGAACCAGAACCTGTAGAGCTGTGGTGCGAGGTGTTTTGGGTTGCTGTGGTGTTTGGAGAGGTGGTTGTCATGGTAACGCTGAGTTCTGTCATGTAGTCGTCTGTGATTGTTGGGTTGGAGGATCTTTTTGAAGCTGCTGGTGTGCTGCTGGTGATACTGAGACTGGTGGTGCTGGGCTCTGAAGAGGTTAACATGGAGACTGTGGTTCTGTTGGGTTCAGGTCTGGTTTCTCCTCTGGTGAAAGTGGGCAGACTGGTGAAGGTATGGGTGACAACAGAACCAGCTGTGGTGGGTTGGGGAGCTGCCGAGCTGCTCTTGCTGCTGGTCTGACGCGTGAAGACGGTTTGCGTCGGAGCATCTCTGCTGGTGTTCCAGACGCTCGTCGTGTTTGTCTGAGTCCACGCTGCCAAAACCACAAAAGAAGACGTTAGGTCCTGATCAGACTGGTTCAGTCAACAAACAAGTAGTCAGCATTGGTGTGTACATAGTTCCTCTAGGTAGGAAACTATCAGAGGTAGAAGCAACTAAACACGAAGTTTACAGCAGAAAAATCATGAAACTGGAGAAAAATGTCACAGTTAAACTAAAGTCCCATCATTCATCATCACACACTAATGAAATTACATCTCTGCATTTGACCCATCCCCGTGGGGAGAGATAGCTGCAGCAGAGGCGGTGCTCGGTGGTTTATCCCCCAAATCCAACACCTTAAAGCTGAAAGGAATTGGGTCCCATTTTTAGAGACCTGGCTGGAATGTGAACCCTGATCTCCCCGTTCCAGGGTGGACTGTCTACCACTAGGCTACTGAGAATGTAACAATAACCAGTTTTATTCTCAGCTTGGTTTTATTTTAGTCAAATCAGATGGTAACAAATGTAAAGTCAGATTAAAAAACACGCAAATGGTTTATTATTACATTAAAATTAAATGATTTTCAGGCACTGGTATCAGAAACTGTCAGTACTGGGACTGGGCCAGAGATGCAGTTGTGACTCCATGGCCCAGTTCCACCCTCACACCCTTGGACCTTTGCCCCACCCCTTTTTCCCTCTTGATCTCCACTTTGCTGAAGCCCGCATCTGTGCAGACTTTGGTGAACTTATTACCCACAACCCCATCCATGTGGTCATTTTGAGAGGAAAGCGGAGAAAGTGATCTCATAGTATAATTATAGTATGATTACCAAAATATTCACTATATATATATATATATATATATATATATATATATATATATATATATATATATATATATATATATATATATATATAGTGATATACAATCTATCAATTATCATTGATAGAGAACAATATTTAGAACATTTTGAAAATGATTCAGAACTGTTTGTGTTTACATTACAAAATAATAATAATAATAATAATAATAATAAAATTTCATTTTATTTGTAGGCACCTTTCTTGGCACTCAAGGTCACCTTACAGTAAGACAAAATAGAACACATCATGATAAAACAAAGTAATATCACTTCAATTAAATCAAAGATTAGAAAGCAATAAAAGCAATAGAACAGATAACAGATGACAGAAAACAAATAAATGGATGGATCGATGGATGGAGATTCACAAACAAAAAGCATTTTTGAACAAGTTTTGAGATTTGATTTGAAAATTGAAAAGGAGTCAGTGTTGCGAATCTCAGGTGGAAGAGAATTCCAGAGTTGAGGGGCAGAGCGACTGAACGCTCTGGACCCCATGGTAGACAAACGGAAACGGGGTACTGAAAGATGGATGGAGGAGGAAGATCTAAGACTTCGGATGTGGACGTTAATTCGCAACAGTTCACTGAGATATGGAGGGGCAAGGTTAGGAATGGATTTTGAAAGTGATCCAAAATTTTACAGGAAGCCAGTGCAGCTCCTTCAATATATGATGGGTCAAAACCTCCACCAGCCTGAGCTGAAAAACAACCTCAAAGTTTTACCTAAATATAAATGTTAAAATCTACCCAGATGAAGCTGTAAGTGTGATGCCTAAAACCAAACAAATAAACTTTATCTCATTAAAGGTTTATAGAGCAAACTAATTCTGTTTTTAGCATTTGCGATGCTGAAACCATGAGATTTTTATTCAAAAGTTAAAACATTTTCATGATAAAAATGGAAATCTGCAGCAGGCAACAAGAAAATGTTTTACTGGTTTAGAGTTTTACTTTCTTTGAAATCCTGAATGACATCCTGAAATGTTTTCGTCTCATTTCTCACCTGTTCATCAGATCATAAAAACCCAGAAAAGAAAGAAAACCTGAAACTTTTGTTAGTTTAACTTTTTTTTTACCTGAGGCAACGAACATGAGAGCGATGCAGAGAGTGAGCAGCGTCTCCATCTTTCTGCAGGAAATCCGACCGTTTGTGACAAAGATCTCAGTGTGTGAAGCTGCAGGAGTCTGTTTGCAAAGAGAGAAAGACTCCTTTATACACCTGCACAGGTGGAGGAGGGGTTTCTCCCATCATGCTTCTGGGTTGTCAGCAGCCACTGAGCTCCACTCTGTGGTCAAACTGATGTCTGTTGTAAACTTGTTGAGTTTAATATCTAATGTTTCTGCAGGAGGCAGAGGGGCGGGGCTTCTGCTACAGGTGTCCCAGAGGCTCACCTGCCCATCAATGAGTCCATTTTCTTTTCTTTAACCTTTTTGATTTACTTTTCCTCAATAATAAAGTTGTTAGATTTATGTTAATATATTTGTTTTGTAGAAAAGAGAAATGTTCATCACCAAGACGTGTTTAGTTTATTTGGTTTAATTCATTAAAAAAATTCCCCAGCAGCAACACTGGAAGTTTGGGATTTTGGGAATTGTGTTGATCTTTCCACAGAATTAAATAAACAAAATCATTTAGATGTTCCTGGTTCTGTTCTACCTGCAGTTCTGGAAGTGAAGCAGTGAGGAAGCTGGTGATTGGCTGAGACACCTGAGTCCAAGTAGGTACCCCCCCCCCCCACACACACACACACCCCAGAAACACATCACTGAGCTTTAGATGTTTTTATTTATGATTAGAGACAGAATCAATCAGCAGAATTTATTAATCAAACTGAATTATGGGCAATGAATCAGTGATGTCATCCTTCTAATTGTAGGCGTCTTTCTCAGTTGGAGATTTCAGTGGGAGCTGCACAGGCTCCGCCCCCAAGGCACCTGGAGATAGAATAAAAGTCTTTAGATGAAACAAACGACATGTTTTTTTATTTTCCTCTGAGGTAGAGGATGTTCAGGTGAGATTACTCATTTAACCAACACATTTGCATTGGTTTCTAGTAGAAACGGATGGTTTGTAAGTCGTTCTCGGGGGAAAATATACCGGTGCACCATTTCTCAGACATAGAAGTAGCCCACATCACAGCCGAGCTTCAGATGGCAGGATCTAAAGTCTTATTTTCTGACATTTGAACATCTCGCCTTGGATTGAATAACAGCAACGTGCCTCTTCCCCTGACTTGCAACGTGGATGTTTTATCTCCACAAATAACACAAGCCTGCAGCAGTTTCTGCCGTGTGGTGGAGGAGATGCTAATGCTAGCGGTTAGCATTAACTAGCCGAGACATCCGCTGCAGTTTCCCAGAGGTTAAACCAACAACAGCCTTCCTTGCCGTGAATCAACATGGGTGAGTCCATGAATGTTAGGATTTTCACATCCTAGAGTTTCACCGTCTATCAGAAGCTAATGCAGGAGATAGGTGTAGGAGATGATTTTCATGCTCAACCTGCATGAAAAACTCAGAGGGACTGATTATGATCAGAAAAAAATCATTTATAAAGGGTTTTCCAGTCATCCACACCTTTAAGAACAGCAGATTAAAGTTAATGGCGAGAAACAAATTGAGTTTGCAGCCCATCGAGTTCGTGTCTGGCTTTTGTGGGACCTGCTGTTGATCTTTTCACGCTGGTGGTTTCTATCAATTCTGTCTTTTCCCGTGATTATCTTTTCATTTATTTATTTATTCACATTTTTTTAATCTAAATCTTTTGACTTTTTACATTTTTACTAGGAAATATTTTAATCATGTTTATTTTTGTTGTGAAGCACGTCATGATCCTTATCTTGAGGGGTGCTATGTAAAAATAGTTTCATCTCCTTCTAAAGAATCTGTCTCTCAGATGTAGTGGACCCGTGTCCTGATCAGGCTGCAGGTCGGACACGTTAGCATCACACCTGTGTGAAACAAGTCACCTCCCTCTGATCGTGTAGCAACACTTGTGTCACTACAGCTTATAAAATCTTTAGTTTATTACTTTCCTCAACATCCCATAATAACATAAGTGTTGCTGAACATCAGAGGGAGGCGACTAACTCCTGCTGTGCATTTATTTGCTGTTGTGTTGTTTATTTTTAGAATCAGCTGACGAGGTTTGATTAGCGGATGTTTGTAGACCCTCCCCTCAGGTGCCTGGTACCTGTGACTTTTCACACAGGTGGGTGTGGCTCACCACGGTCGTACCTGCTGTCGTCAACATTTACTAAACTGATGGAGGGAATTCTGACTTCAAAATTAGCAAATAAATGTTTAACAGAGTAATCAGATTACACGTTACCCGTTTTACTGGCCAGTCTGCTTCCCAGCTGATCCCAGAATGAGCAAGCACTCTGACTCAGGCCCTGCTGATGCTGGAGGGTGGGGCTTAGCTCCAGGTAGGTGGGTGTGGCCTCAGATGACAGGACTGGCTGCCAGCGGGGAAGAACTGACTCCGCCCACACCCGAGATGGGTTTGGGTTCCTGTGGTAAAACAGGAAAAGTGGGCTTTACTGTATGTAGTTTGTGTAGCTGGTGAATTCATGACGGAACCGTGTGTCTGACCCGGTCCGTACGAAGCTGGAGACGTAGGTCATCACGGCGAGTGAGAGGCGTCGGTCGGAGGAGGAGAAGCGCTGAGAGCTCATTGGATGGAGAGGAAACCCAAACAGGAACTGAACGTCAAGAGGAACCGAATTATCAGCCCTACAGAGAAGAGCAGGATATAAATAAATAATCCTGATCCAGTCCTCAGCAGCCAGACGTCCAGGTTTAACTGGTTCTGGACCAACAGCTGAGTCCAGTTTACCCTATTTCCCAGCATGGTGCCGGGTTTTCGCTGATCTCTGAAAACTAGAGCAGGAACTGAGTCGTCCGTCTGCGGGATGACTGTTCAGCTATCAGCTGTTTACCTGTTGTTGGCACTGGAAGCTGGCTGGTGATACAGGAAGACATTGGCATTGCTGTTGGCCCAGTGGGTGGCCATCTTCACAGTGGGACAGATGATAAACAGATCTCTGCAAACAAACAAGCTTGATGATGTCATGATGTGATGTCACATGTAGACCACACAACAGTGAAGTCTCACACACCTTCATGGTTTAGCCCACCTGGGAGTTTCGACTCAGACTCGTATTAAGCTAACTGTACGCTTCAGCTACACCCTGCCTGTCTGTCTTTTATTTTTTGTGTGTCAAATTAAAACTGTTAACTAATCCTGCTTTGCTGTTTTAGTTCAGCATAATTAATATTTATTGTCATTAGTATTGGTAGGTTTTGATCAGCCTCAGTTTAGAGAAATTATTATCAAAAGTGGGCTCATCAGTTATTATTTAAGCCTGTTTTTATTATTCTGACAGGAAGTGGTTCTGATACTTCCTGTTAGTTACTAGAGTTCCATCTGAACGTATAAAAACTTGAGAGAACAAACCGCTCACTTTTCCAAGACCTATTTTTATATTACAGTAGAACTAACAAAAACTAATCTCCATTTCCACACAATGAGGCTCATCAGTGTGAAAGCAAGAAGAGTCATGTGATTATTTAAAAAAACAGCTCTTACCCACAACAGCTGAGATAAACTATAAAGATTGGCACTTTGTCCAGGGTGTACCCCGCCCGACTGCCCATTGACCGCTGGAGATACCCCCCCCCCCCCCCCCCTCTTCCCGCGGACAAGCAGGTTCAGAAAATGGAAGGATGGGTGGGTGGATTTTAAATCGACTCTACAGACACAAGTGTTCCTTCTGCTTTGATTCTCATTTACAGATTAAGAATTATCCGATTGTGTGAGTGTAAACACCTCCACCTGCTTCCTCTCACCTGGTGGCGTTGTTGAGCGCTCTGGAGAACAGGTTGTAACCGGCTGCGGTTGGACTGTGGTCCAGAGAGTAGAACCAGGTCGCTGCATCCTTCAGCAGCTCGTTTCCTGAGGCTCCACCCAGTGAGCGGCTCAGAGCCTCGTAAAATGCCGTCTTACTGTTGGCGCGGCCCTGGAGAGCCTCGAAGTCCTGAACAAAAACAGTCATGTGACCATCATTCCCTTAAACCTCTGAGCTGCTACTTCAGCTGCAACCTCTGACCTTTATCCTGCGAGCTCGGCTGATCAGACCATCATTCACTGAAGTTCCCAGCAGGAGATCAACCCTGTGGAAGGACTGGGACTGGGACTCCCGGACTGGAGACCAGGACTGAAACGGGCCGCTGACCGCTAGCAGCTGCAACATAAACACACCCAGGTCAGACTCGTAGAAAACCGGACCTCCATAAATACAGACGGACCTACTTTGGTCTGAGCGGCGTTCAGCTTGTCAACAGGGACGGATCTGAGACAGGACACCATCTGGCCGTCATCAGTGAGGTCAGAGGTGACACAGCCAAGTTCTCGGGCTAGATCAACCGCCTGACGTTTAGATGACGAGTTTGTATGGACCAGCGAGGGAGAAAACACAGAACCGCCCTGCAGGAAAAAAACAGAACATGATATTGTTTGGTTCCTCTAAAACTGGAGGCCCTGAGGAAGAGGAAGGTGTATCTTCTCACCATCAGGATCATCCTCTGAAACAGAGGAGAGGAGGAGAGGAGATGAAGGCTGGCCACATCCGCACCATGACGCTCTGCCCCCACTGTTACTCTACTTTTGTCTCCGCCCACCAGATAGATGTGGGCGTTGACCCAATGGAGCACCGCCTCCTGGTCCGACAGGCCGTAGTTACCACGGAGACCACCTGGAGATACTTTCAGTGAGATGAGACACCTTTGTGTGTTCACCTGTGTGTGTTCACTCACCTGTGCTCAGAAAGCCCAGTGCTGCAGTCCGGTAGCTGGCTGTTACCACGATGATGTTACCCATAGCAGCAAGGGCGGAGGCATCCAACAGTCCAGGGCTTTGATTGGCTGAAGGGTTGAAGAAGAAAACAAGGACAGGAATGCGCTCCCTCTGGTGGCAGAAACAGAAAGTCCTTTCTTAAAATCGTCCAAGCCGCTGGTCGTTTAGTTACAGAGTTCATGGTTGGAAACCATCGTGGCCGCTGGACTCACCACAGCAGCAGGACTAAAGATGTTGAGGTAGAGACAATCCTCACTGGAGGCTGCAGAGTCGACGTCGCCTGGCTGAACGCAGCTCGAACTGAAACAGAATCAGTAAAAGGTTCTGAGCCACAAGAGGAAGACGGCGTTAGAACATCCTGGCTCAGGTGTTACACTACCGAGGTCGGGTGGCGTCCCAGTCTCCCATCCAATCAGCCGGCTGCGCCACCTCAAAGCGGAGCGACCCTATGGGTGGACGGGCGTATGGGACTCCCAGAAACTGAATCACAGTCCTTGTGTCTGATCCTATGGCTGTTTCCATGGCAACCCCCTGCAGAGTCCCATGACCCGGGATGGAGATAGACGTCGCTGATGGAAGCCACTCTAAAGAGAAACACACCTCAGTGGCTGAGCTGTTATTCCTTGTCTTCTGTGATTGGCTCATCAGCTCACCTGTTCTCAGGTACACCTGGGGAGCAGACTCTCTGATGATGAGTCGACAGGAGACAGTGGGGCTGGAGGCGGAGCTTAACCCACAGGTGACAGTATCAGGGTAGAGGATGCAGCGAACGGCGGACTCCGTTTGCCTGAGTGATACGGCGGCACAAGTCTCCGCCTCCTGGCAGGCTAAATGAACAACGGGGATTATTAACACCAGGTCTGTTAACACCTGAGCTCATGTTACTAACTCTGGTTACCATGGAGACACCAGTCCCTGGTCTGGTTCTGGTCTGTGGTGAGATCGTGGCTCAGATGGATGACATCATACGTAGTAAGAGACGGGTCAATCAGGACTGATGAGTCTGAGATGCTGTGCCACTGGTCCATCGACACTAAGAACAAGAGAGTCACAGAGTCCTGCAGGGTTCTAAAGGTGGCTGGAACCAAAGTCCTGTTTCATACATCAGCTGGACCTTCCTAGAACCTTTAAAGGTTCTGGATCAACTTCTAGACTCATTCTTCTCAGTCTTTAGACTTGAACAAAGGGCAGCTGCTCAGAACCTAATCATGAACAACAGAACTGGATCAGAACCATGCTCCATGGTCTCGGGCTCACCGTTGTTCTTTGGCAGGTTGAACCGAGGACACAGACCTGAAGACGGACTCCACAGATTCACTAAAAACACAAACATCACATCAGTCACTAGGTAGACTTTGGGCAAGTCTGTGTGTGCTTGTGTGGTTGGTACCGGGTTTCTGGTACCAGCCAAACGGTTCTGGTGTGGCCTTCACTTTAGAAGGTCTGCAGTCCGAAGTCCTCCAGGTCGTCATGTCGCCTTGGCTGCAGGTCTGGATGCCGAGGCTGATCAGAGGCAGACACACCACCTCTGAAACAAACATTTGTTCTGTCAGCCGACCCACTGTAGAAAACACACACATCCTCCTGGTTTCTACAGCCGACTTCTATCAGGAGAACGTTGTGTCAGAGTCATGTAAACACAGATAACTTCATTTCTAGAGGATCAGGAGATTTTCTGTCTCAGTTACACGTTTCTTCCTGTGTCAGATTTTTATAATTTTGGGAAGAAAACAGCAGATTGTAAAAATGTAATCAGTATTTCCTGGCGTTACCTTCTGTTCTGTTGTTACGGACAAAACCGAAACCACGGCAACAAGGATCCTCATCACAGCGCCGCTCACAACCCCTAAAACTAAACACACACACACACACACACACACACACACACACACACACACACACACACACACACACACACACACACACACACACACACACACACACACACACACACACACACACACACACACACACACACACACACACACACACACACACACACACACACAGAGAGAGAGAGAGAGAGAAAATTACAGCCATGATATTGTTTTTTCTGTTTTTATTCTAACTGATCAGATCGTTTTTATATCTGACTCAAAATCGTTAACAATAAAAACAATTCCATCATCAAGCATGTGTGTGTGTGTGTGTGTGTGTGTGTGTGTATGTGTTTATGTTTATTTATTTGGCAGACGCTTTTATCCAAAGCGACTTACAATTTATAACCTATAGGGCATGTTGTGATCTGTGGGGAACACCGGACTGCCCGGAGGAAACCCACACATGCATGGGGAGAACACGCAACTCCACGCAGAAAGGCCGCAGCCGAGTTTCGAACCTGTAACCTTCATGCTGCGAGGCAACAGTGCTAACCACTGCGCCACCATGCATGTGTGTGTGGGTGGGTGCGCATGTGTGTGTGTTACCCCTCAGAGAGTTGTGTGTTTTCTCCCAGGGAGATCCAGCTTCTGACAGAATAAGAAACCAACTTCTGGAAGGAAACTCTCTGATAGAAACTCTTCACAGGTCCAGTCAGATCCACTAAACAAAAACAACACAATAATAACCACAACAAGAAAATAACAACAAAATAACAAAAAACAAACTAAACAATAACACAATGACCACAGCAACAACACAACAGTAAAGCAATAACAACACACTGACACTTTGTGTCATTTATCCATTCCAGGATTTTCTTTCAGAAGAAACTTGGTTTAAAGTGATAAAACATGAATTCTTCCATGAGAGCAAAAGTAAAGGTCCCTCGTTGGGTTGATGAACACATGAGTGTTTCAGCCACTCACCCCTCTTGCTGTAGGTGCTGTTGGGCTCTCGCTGCAGCAGGAGGAGGCAGGATTGTTGTGATAGTTTGCTGTAGGCTCCACACACTCTGGTGTTGGGATAAAGCGAACAGCTATAGAACCCTGCTGGTTCTGAGTCTCTGAGTTCGGAGGTGGAACACTGCTGCTCTTCATCACAACCTGGGACCAAAACAACAACAAACCGAGTCCAGTCTCTCCTGGCACTTACCACGTGATTTTAACAGCTGATGGTCAGCTGGTGCTTGGAAAAGTAAACCAGACCTGCTTAGGAGTGGAGTAAAGAAGACATGACTACATACGTGTGAGACACCACAGCAGTGCCTGCTGGGAGTTGTAGTTTTTCTTATTGAGCCAGAAGGAGAGAACGGGAATTTTGCTTTGAGGATCCACAAGAACGTCGTTGTTGGACAGAGCCTCAAACTTCATCCGGACCGACGCTGCAAACAGAACATTTCCTGATTCAGGGTCAAACATCAAATCACAGCTTTTGGACATGATTGTCTGATCCAAACCGTTCAGAGGAGGAATCGAGTCTGCTGCAGCACAGGAAGATCCAGAACCACTGGCTGTTGCATCTGACACACAACAAAACACATGACAACCAGAACCAAAGCAGAACACAAGGCACATGGTCCAGAACGGTACCTGTATTCAGGTAGATGGCCTGGAAGCTGGTGATGGAGAGCTGGTTGTCGGTTCTATTCTCCACGTCAGCTAGACCAGAATCAGCTGAACAAATGGAAGCTCTGTTTGAGTGCAGGCGGTTCTGAACGACTCGTGTTTCTACTTTTTGTAATTTCTTTTTCTTACTGATTGTAAACTTCTGTCCCCCAAAGTCCAGCTGGAGGCTGCGCTGCTGCTCGTCGAAGCTGAGCCCCGCCCCACACACTCGGTTGGCTGACCCTTGTCCAATCACATCCCAGTCCTGCTCTTCACACATCAGGACGGATGGAGCTTTCAGCCAACCACAGAACAAATAACCTGAAAATGTACGGAGCATACAAGTCATTCACCCACACATTCATCATTTCATTAATGCCACATGGGTCTGAGCTCCTCCTTCTCTATAATTAATTATCTAAATGTTTATCTGTTCATTAAATGATTACATCTTTCATATCCAACTGTTGGTTTAAAGTCTCAGCTGGCCAAAACTTTCCCAGCTCATCATCATCATCATCATCATCATCATCATCATCATCATCATCATCATCATCAGGTATTGTACTCTTGTTTCCATGGTAACTCACCTCCATCCAGGTTGATCTGGTTGAGGACAAACCCACTGCAGCAGGCGTCACGGCTACAGCCGTCCTGACAGAAACGATGAGCGTCTGACAGAGACGTCTCCTTGGAAGAGAACACCTGACTTCTGAACACACCTGAGACGGCCTTCTTCATCCTTATCCTCACAAAACTCTTCTGTTGCTGCTGAGATGAAAACTCCGCCCCTAAAACAGAACACACACACACACACACACACACACACACACACACACACACACACACACACCTGAATTCACCCACTCTCCCAAAGCTCTGTATCATTCATATAAGCTACACATGAAGCTCAAACTGCTCTTTAGAAACGAGGTACTTTGTCATGAAATTTGTGTCTAAGTTTTGGCTCCTTAAAGTGGCAACGTGTAGTTTTACCTTTAATCTCTGGAAATATCAATAGAAAGAAAACAAAATAAAAATACATGAAAGATTTGAGATATCCAAAATAAAACCATTACTGAATATATCCACATTTTAAGGAATAAAAATTAATGAAATAAATTGAGAAAAGTAACGGATTCCACTGAATTGTGATTTTTTTTAATTCACTAGCTTGATTTGGTTATTTCACATTTAGTATTACTGCAAAAATAAGTTTGTTTCCAAATGAAGAGGTTCAACAGTACATATCTGTCGATAAAGGAAAATGTGCATTTGCAGTCACTTTTCAAATAATATTGAGTTTGTCCCGTAACTTCGTCCCAGTTTTTAACTTCGGCCCACATGAATTTGAGTTTGACACCCCTGATGTACAGGAAGGACATTCTGGGTCCATTCAATGGGGATGACAGCAGATGATAACATTAGAAGCGGGTGTACAACTTCACAACGTTACCACATTCAAAAACATTTAGCCTGTAAGAAACGCAAATTTAATAACAAAACTGCTAAACTCTTTCCAAAACCTATGTGAAAGAAAAGAAATTAAAAAAGGTGCAATATATTTTTGCCAAGCGGTATTGCCGTAGTATGATGACGTCATCGGCAGGCGCAGGACCTCAAGCAGATACGGAAACTGCAGCGCCAGAAAACTACAATCAGTATTACATTCTCTCGATGGAATTAACTGAAGAACCATCAAAGTCTGAGGAGTCACGCAGGTCGCATTCCTTCTGCTCCACAAGTAACAATATTTACCGTGATGATTTTTGAAACTATTGACAGTCACAGCAAAATGGTGTAAAACTACTCTGACATGTATGAACTGTCCCCTAGCGCCAGGAAACTACACACTGCCACTTTAAACAAAACTGATGTACCTTTCTTCCTGAGGACGATCAGATCTGAAGCCCCGCCCTTCACTCTCAGTAAGCACGTCAGCTGATCAGACTGCTCGGCCTGAGGATTACCCAGAAACCTGCCGGGCTGCCAAGTTTCACAACATTAAAATAATTACATATCACATTAATATTACTTTATAAAAGGGTTTATATTTATAGTTTAAAGGCAATATGTTGAGTTTTGAGACCAACCAGGTCAAACAGAAAGGTGAGTGTACCTTCTGGGAGGCACTGCACTGTGTGTTAAGTGTGTGTGTGCTGTACAGTTCACACTGGGTCTGTGTGTTGAACAATGCCACATGGTGGCAGGAGGGCTCTGCTGCACACGCTGAAACACAAACAGAATCTGTCAACAAGTGTGTGTGGGCGTGCGTGTGTGTGTGTATGTATGTAAAATGAAGTATTTACTTGTTTTATTTTTGGCATGCTGCTAGGCAGCTGACTATTTTATGAGTTAACACAGTTTAGTTTATTGTTATGAGTTATTTACTTGTGAGAGTAGGGCAGACTTTATATAAGATTTTCTTCTGTCTGCTCCTGTTCATTTAAGTGTGGCAAGTGGAACTATTTTGTTGTAAAATAATTATATTTTAAAATTAATTAAAGAGCAAGTCACCCCCAAATCAACTATTTTTTTCCTGATAAACTACATAAATGCATGTCTAATTGTGCTGCAGACACGTGTAGTCAATAATTTTGCACTTTAGTGCATTTTAGTTAAAATTTAAATTTTCTGCCTGAAACTGTCAGTGTTGTGCCGTTGTCAGATAAAAACCCTTCACTGCATTTGAATTTAAATCTGCCACCGCTATTGGCTAAGAGGTATGCTATGATGTAAACTGGTACATTATGATGTCACAATGTCGTGAGTGTGTGTATTTGTTAGCGGCTCCACCCTCTTGGTCTGCTAGGCAACAGCATTTGTTGCATTTTTCAAACATGAAGTGGGAGTGAAGTACGCTTCTTGTAAGGGGTGACTTGCTCTTTAAGTAAAAAATTTAAAACTAAACAAAGAATGTGTGCGTGAGACCTTGAACACAGGCTTTAAGGTCAGAAGTCATCGTCTGAATGACCTCTGCGTCTTCAGCGCCGAGTATCAGATCTGATCCAAGAACAGCCTGAAACCTGCTGAGAACTGAAACACAAGTCAATGTGCTGATGTGCAGCAGACTCAAAGATCTGGTTTCTGATTGGCTGCTAAATTCCTCACCAGCGCATTCATCGTCTGTTAGAGGCTTTTCACTGGCGGTCCACTCAAGCTCCGCCCCCTCGCTGCTGAAACACTTCCACCTGCCCAACAGGATGTCAGGCTGAGCTGGCAGGAAGTCACCCTGCTGTGAACACCTTAGACCCCGCCTCTGACAGTCTGTCTCACCTGAGACAGAAAGGTAAAGAAAACTGTCAGCATCACACACACATTAGCTCAAGGTTTTTTTTCTCAACTTTACTGTTTGATCACTTTTCCCTTCAACGACAGATGTTAAAACTAAAAGGACTCACACTGATAGACAGATGATGCTCCAGCAGGTGATTTTCCTCTAGGACACCTGTTGCAGAAGTCCCGCCCCTGTTCTTCCTGATAGGTTCCCTGAGGACAGGGAATACATGCCTCCTCTTGGTAGAAACTGCCAGCAGGACAAATGACTAAAGAAACAAAAAAAGAAACCCAGTCTTTAAGCTCTGGAACAGCTGGGCGGTAGAACTGACACTGATGTAGTATCCATCGTGTCTTTCTCCTGCTGGACCACAACATCCTTCCTGATAGACTCATCAACTGGCTGGAACTATCAGGCACAGTTCATAGTTGTTTCTGGTCATATCTCGAAGACAGGGATTATGTTTTTTCTATTGGTGATCACAAATCAGAGCTGATCACCATGACATGTGGGGTCCCCCAAGGTTCGATTCTTGGACCACTGCTCTTCAATCTCAACATGTTCCCCCTGGGTCAGGTCATAAACAATAATATTACCTACCATAGTTATGCAGATGACACCCAGATCTATCTAACTCTATCAACTAGTGACCGTGGTCCCCTAGACTCACTCTGTCAGTGTTTGGAGCAAATTAAAGACTGGATGCAGTCAAACTTCCTTCAGTAAAACAAAGACAAGGCTGAAGTTATCGTCCTATAAGAAGGATAGGACGGACGTCAGCTTGGTTCCGGAGGAATAAATACAAAGACTCGGGTTAGAAATCTTAGTGCCATAATTGATTCAGACCTGAGTTTCTCTGGTCATATTAAGGCTATAACTAGATCTGTGTTTTATCATCTGCATCAAATAGCAAGACTCAGATAGTAAGGGATTCTTAAGTGGCTGCATGGTGGACCAGTTGGCGGGTCTGGTCCCTCAGAGCAAGAAGGTCACAAGTTCAAATCCAAGCTTTATCCTTTCTGTGTGGTTAGTATTTTCTCTCCATCATGCATGCAATGGCTTTCCTCCAGTCTCCTCTCTCTGGCCAAAAACACGCATGTCAAGTTATCTGCAGATGGCATGTCTAAGTGACATACTGTATGCTTTAAATTGTCTTTAGGTGTGAGTGAGTGTGACTGGTTGTTTGTCTCAGTGTTCCCCTGTGATGGACTGGAGACTCATCCAGGTGAACCCGCCTCTCACCTGGTGATTGATGGAGAAAGACACCTGCACCCTGAGACCGTAGTGAGGATGCGGCGATGTAAACTGGGGAAACTCAAGCTGCATCTATTGCAGACGGCGCGGTGTGGTGTGTGCAACTTGTGATTACACAACAATGAGCTTCTGAGCTTCAATCCTCAAGTTTCACTTTTGGAGCAGTGTTTAACAGAACCAACTGCAAGACATGAAAACTGGATCCAGATCAGCACCAAATCTTTCGTCTACAGGAGTGTCCCAAGTCCAGATTCAGTCTGTTCCTCCAAGGAACAAAACTTCCCAAAAACTTGTGTTTCAACAAAAGAGCAACTATAAGGTTAAGCTCCTGTTAATCTGCTGAAACCACTATTAAACGTTGTGTATAAACTGAGTTTAGGCTTAACCTCCAACCCACTCTAGAGGCTGCTAAACTAAAGGGATGATCCAGGTTTGACATAATTGCTTTTCTTTATAAACATCTCCGGACTCACCACAGCCATCACCGTCACTGTCCAGGTGGTAACCACGGTGACAGCCAAATCTTGATGCTGTCATAGAAACCAGTTTGGGTTCAAAGGCCAACGAGGAGCGGAGATTACCAAAAAGTTCCTGCACTCCTTCCAGAAGTTTGGATTCATTCAGGAACAGCGCTGGGGCAAAGAAAAAAAAATTCAGAAATGAAAACTCCCGACATTCAAAAGATTACCGCTAAACTCACCGACATCATGAAGGTCAGGGAGGTCAGAGGTCGGGAGGTCAGAGAGGGAGGTGGTCCATCTGAGGTTTAACCTCAGAGAGGCATCACTGTCACATCGAAGACTCACAGACGAGTCGTCACAGAGCGACACGGACCTGCCCGATGAGGGAAGCTACACACACACACACACACACACACACACACACACACACACACACACACACACACACACACACACACACACACACACACACAGGTGAGGATCCTGACTATTAATTAAAAAAAACCTGAATGAGAACCAGTTTCTAACCCAGTCTAGTTCACCTGAGCGTAGCAGAGCCCCCTGCTGGTCATCATGATGAACAGCTGATTCTGTAGAGCGATTAAACTGATCTGAGAGCAGGGCGATGATAACGATACTGACCAGAGCTGAGAAGACGACACCAATTGCAGAGGCTGGGACACTAAACACAAACAGGAGATTCAATTCAGCTTCATTCAACATCAATCAGGCTTTGGGGTCAAAGGTCGTGACCTTACTCTGGCAGGCTCCACTCAGTGGCTTATTGTCTTCGCCCCACCCACCACTCGCAGTCTCACACAGGAACCTGCTCGAAGGAAATGCATTCTGGTAACCATGGTAACAAACCAGGTCACAGCTCTGACGTCCATCAGTTGCTGGTTGGCAGACTAGTGCACCATGGGTAATGGTGGGTTCAGGACAAAGAGGACCTGCAGTGAACAAGGACAAATGTGTGGACCAGTCAGAATTGGAGCTGCAGCCCCTCCATCAAGCCCAGGGAGCTGTCCTGATACCTGATGACTTTACTGCAAACTTACGGTCACATGATGGCGTGCGTCCAGTCTGCCGAATTTTTTGTGTTCCTCCCACTTCCTGTCCATCTTCAGACACACACCAGCAGGAGGTGACATCACACTGAAGTGGTGCGAAGGAGCCATCTGGACGACACTGAAGACCCTGCAACTCACACCAACTCGGACCTGAAGGCGTCACACGGATAATAGAGTGAAGCGGGACAGTGAATGCACCACGCATGTGTCTGTGTGTGTTTTTACACGTCAGCTGTCCTGTAGAACTCCGAGTTGCTGTTTGGACCGGCTCTCCAGTCAGCGGGTTGACACACCAGCCTGCAGCACCTCCTGTCTGCAGCACTGAGAAACGACCATCCTGAAAACATGAAAGAAACCGGTTCTAAAACAAAAATAAAACTTCAACCTCAGACAAATAAAAGCTTGTTAGGGTTCCAAACAACTACGGCTCATCCCTTGAGCTGAACGATGCAGAGGTCAAAGATCAGACGCTTAAACATTTGAAACAGAAAAATCAGCTTAAATCCAAGAAAATCTTCTTCAGCGAGTCTGGGGATCCGGATCTGCAGCAGATCTGAGGTTCATGACATAATCTGGGGAAGTGGACTGTAATTAACAATTGAGGATTGTGTTTGTAATCAGATTGTTGACCTGCTGGCTGCTTTTCAGTCCATCAGTCCCAGCGTGCTCTCTATAATTAATGCTTTTCTGGTTTCTGCTCAGGTCCCTGCTTACTTTAAGAACGCTGTAATCCACCCGCTTCTTAAAAAAAACAGCCTTGACTCCTATCTCCATAGCAGCTTCAGGCCCATCTCTAAACTACCGTTCATCTCCGAGATCTTGGAAAAGGTTGTGGCTAAACAACTCACAGCTTGATGAGCATAACATCTATGATAGTTTCCAGTCAGGTTTTCGTAGAGCTCATTCTACTGAAACAGCTCTTCTTAGGGTCTCTAATGACCTTCTGACTCACAGTGATGCAGGGGACTGTTCTGTTCTGGTCCTGCACGACCTGACTGCAGCCTTTGACACTGTTGACCATCACCTGCTACTGGAGAGGCTGAGAGACTGGGTAGGCCTAGTAGGATCTGCTCTGGAGTGGTTCTCCTCTTATTTGTCTGAGCGTTCCTGTGTATGAATGGGTGAATGACCGGTTGTGTTGTAAAGTGCCTTGGGGGGTTCCAGGATTCTAGAAGGCGCTATATCAAATACAGGCCATTTACCATTTCTCTGTGGCTGTCTCTAAGTTTCGGTCCTCCACCACCTCCCTCGACCATGGTGTCCCACAAGGTTCTGTATTGGGGCTTCTACTATTCCTCCTCTATCTGCTCCCTCTTCAGCACATCCTGAGCTCATTTAAATGAATCTCCTGTCATCATTATGCAGATGACATCCAACTGTACATCTCCTTTAAGCCCCATGAGATGTCTAGGCTGCAGCTGTTACACACACCTTATTTTGTTACTAGACAAAATGTGAGTGTGTGTGTGTTTTTACCTGCTCACACTGTGGGTAGTAAGGTAAGGTGCTGGTGATGTCAGAGCCCTTCATCCAATCATAGAGCAGAGAGTTTGCCTCAGCTCTCTGACAGCGTGTCAGACCTGCAGGACAAAAACAAACATCATAGAAGACAAATAAAACGTTATAAACCTTTAATGAAACCTGCTCTTCATGCTGATCTCTGCTGTTAATAAAGAAAATAACAAAATTTAAGGTTTATCTACCAAAAAACATTTTCATGATATTGTGTGACCATAAAAGTAAAAAATGTATGCTTTTTCTCTCCAGCAACTACAGTTTTAGACAAAACATTACCAAAGATCTTAATGAGGTCATAGTCTGGGTTTTCTTACATTTAGGCAGGTTAAGAGAGCGGCTGGTTAGAGAATCAGGGACATATTCTCCATCATCATTGACACACCAACACTGACCTGAACACACAAACATCAAACACTGTTTTACACCAGAGAACGTGTTTACCGCTCATCTCAATGATTTTCACTCATCCTGGTTTCATTTTACACGGTTAAGCCATCATAGCAGCAACTAAAGGTTTGTGTAACGTTGGTGTGCAGTGTGTGTGTGTGTGTGTGTGTGTGTGTGTGTGTGTGTGTGTGTGTGTGTGTGTGTGTGTGTGACCTGTGCTGTGGTAACACTGAGTCAGCCTCCAGTTCCCATCAGCATCACACTGTGGCGTGAATGGCTGATAGGAGCGACGATGAGGAGGAAGCAGCATCTGAACAGCTGATACAGATACAAATTAATTAAACTGATTAAATAACTTCAACAGTTACACAGATTTGACATTTTAGTGTAAAAAAAGACAAACTTTTATTGTTCTTATTTGTAAAAGTAACCCTGACAGGTTGGCAGTCTAAATGTCGGTATAGCAACAACTAAAGGTTTAAAATGTCCAGTTTCCTGTAAACAAATCTGATCGTTTCCTAAATCAAATGAATATTTTTTCTGCTGCTGTGACTCACTGGAGAAAGCAGCCAATTGTAGAGCAGAGTTGGAGCGACTCAGCAGCTTCTCAGTCACCTGCAGCTCTTCCTCTGATTGGCTGATCTGCAGCTCTTCAGGTGTCAGATTCAAACCTTCAGCCAATAGGAATCCATAACCCAGGGGGGAGTGGGATGAGTTAGACAGCGTGATGATGCGCTCCACTTCCTGTCGGAATGCTGTGACCTCAGCAAGCTTCTCAGAGCACCGACCTGAAACAGGTGATCAACAGGTGAGCAGCTCACCTTGATGCACCAGCGTCCAGCTGATGGTTCTGTTCAGGCCAGAAACTTTAAAAAAATTAAATGAGACAAAAACAGTTTCACTGCATTAAAAGGAAAAGACATGTATATGTTGAAGGATTTTCAGCAGAGTGCTTCCTGCTGCTGATCCGTCGACAGGAAAGATTTCAGATTTCTCACAAAACCGTTTAAAATAAGTTTTATTATGCTTTAACTCCAGCCGTTCGTGGAGTCGTCTCATTGTTCGCATCCTTCAGAGCAAACACCTTCAGCTATCAAAGTCAGAGCCACTAGAAATATGTCATAAACTTTATGAAGATTTAAATCAAAATAAACAACATTCAGTTCTCTAGGTGCTGATTGGTGGAGGAGTGTTTATTTGTTCTGACCTTCAGACGTCGTTTTCTTCTCTGGACCTGAAACAAAACATTTACGAGGTCAAAGTAAAACCTTCAATCAAAAAAGCAAGTTAAAGGTTCAGCAGATTTAAACCCCGCCCCCTCACATGTGACAGCACCCCCTACTGGACCCGCGGTAGTCCTCCCTTCAGCGTCCACGCAGAAGCAGCGTGATGCGATGCACTGCAGCGGCAGGAAGTCTCCATTCTCCGAGCATGCTGGGATATGAAGCTCAGCACCAGCAGCCATGTTGGATATTGTTTTCATGGCCATCGCCCGCGCTCTCTCACAGCGGGATGGGCAGCGAGAAGGACGACTGGAGGTTCGAGATCCGATCACCTCCTGACCATCGGGGTCAACGCACCAACACTCAGAACCTCGACACTGGACCTCTTGGAAACCGCCGCTGGCCGTGCAGCGAGGCACGAACAAGTCCGCCACATCATCATCTTCATCAGAGCAAGAACGCAGGAGAGGATTCAGAACCTGGAAAACATCAGAACGGACCCTTAGTCCAACAGTCAGAACTTTAGTTCTTCTAAAAAAAAACAGGGTCAAGATCTGAACCTATTACTGAGAAACAACAAGCTGAGACAGGAAGTGAAGTCACATCAGTGATGATGACCAATCAGGCGCAGAATAACTAAGATAGTTTTGCAGACTTGCTGTTGTAACTCAACCCAGTTTAAGGAGCAGGAGTGTCAGCATCTTTCAGACCTGATCCAGTGATGCTGAGGGGGGGCTGCTCAGACTCATCAGTGTTTGTTGGAGAGCGGACAGAAAGGCCGGGTCCTCGAGGGCTTGGCTGACAGACTGGACTAGATCCCGATTCTTCAGCAGACTAATGCTCTGAGAGGTCAGTTGATCATAATCCAGAGATCCCAGAGCTCCCAGCACCCCGCTGAGGTTGAATGTTGCTGCATTCTTCAAGAACTTCCCTCCAAACAGGTTCTCCTGGAGGCGACGGGGCGAAGACAGAGCCAGAGCCTGCAGAGCTTCGCCCACCGAGGGAAAGAGACCATGGAGAACTTCGTTCAGCCGAGACAGGAAGGAGGTCAGATCCACCTCCAGCGGTAACAGGTTCCTGAGAGGACGGAGGAGGGGCAGGCAGGAACGTGAAGATCCAGAGAGGGACTGGGTAGGAGCACGTACAGGACCAGAGAAGAGCCGGGACAGAGCCAGATGGCGCTGAGACAGACAGTCATCTGGACCAGAACCTGGAGGAGAAGGAAGACAAAGAGTTTTCATGGAAAAAAAAATTATTTATTAGGAAGGGAATAAAAAAAACAACTACTTTGTGGGTGTGTGTGTGTGTGTGTGTGTGTGTGTGTGTGCGTGCGTACGTGCGTGCGTGTGCGTGTGTGTGTGCGTGCGTGCATGCGTGTGTGCGTGTGTGTGTGTGTGTGTGTGTGTGCGCGTGCGTGTGTGTGTGTGTGTGTGCGTGCGTGTGTGTGTGTGTGTGTGTGTGTGTGGTGCATTTCCAGTTGTCTGGTCTACATCAGAGTCACACCTGCACAAACATAGTGAAACATCAACTAACTGTTGTGTCTAAAGTGGAGACTTGATGTGAGGGAAATCCCCACAGAGGCTTTTATTTTGATATTGAGCTGATTCATGAGGATGCTATTAAAAGGATGCGTTCATGATGATCAACTCAATCAGACCATCTCAGTGTGTTCACACTGTGAAGATCAGTAGATCACTAACCGCAGACCAGGGCCTCTCCAAGCTGACGAGTCCCAGGAAGCTCTCTTCCTGTGGGGTCCACGCACCAGCACTGGCCCCCCCGCTGACACTGTCTGGAGCTGAACGATCCTCCAGGTTCACAGGATGGGATGAAAACACTTCTGGACTCCATGGCTGCCCGACGCTGCTCCTCACAGGGAGACGGACCTGACCAAGCCCATCAAAGATGTCTGGTTTAACTGGTAAACAGCAACTATCCTAGTGTTCCTGACATGTTACATCATTGTACAAATGGTACCATATAACCCGTTTGGATCAGAACTCTAACAGAACCACATGAAGTTTATTGAAAAGGGGTTTGGATCATCTTAGTTTAAATCAAAGAAATTTACATCTGAAGGCTCCGGTGGTGGCGAGCCGAACTCCCAGCATCCTCCGCTGCAGGATTCTGTAGATGCTGCTCTGAGAGAAGGAGGAACCAGAACCAAGACCAGAGAAGGCTGAGTCGTAGACTTCAGAGAGGAGCAGCACCACACCTGGACAGGAAGCACACACCTCCATCATCATCCTCCACCTCCTCCATCCTATACAGGTGACTGTTTTATGGTTCTGTTGTTGGTTTGTTTTCATTTGCAGGTGCGTTCCACTTCAGGGACTAACTCAAAATCTTTTAGACTTCCTGGTTTCTTGTTTTTATCCGATGGAAGTGGGGGTGAGGTGAGTGGTCACAGACCTTCAGCTGTTTGATGCAGACAGAGTCAGGTTGGGACATCTGGGTCTCACCTGTGTTCTGGAGCTCTCCGCCCTGACCGTCTGAACAAAAGCAGTACGAGGAAACGAGTGGGAAAAATCTCCTGAAGTTACTGAATGTCTCGAAGGCTTCAGGAAATCTGAAACAGCAAAGAGACATGAAGAAGTCTGGAGTTCAACACGAAGACTCAAACAGAGCAGATGTGCTACCTGTTGTAGGTGGTTAGCAGCTCCATTTCTGTTTGGCTGGTCGTGTTGATGAATTTACACTGAACAGGGAGGAAGCTGCCATCTTCAGCACACTGAGGAGGGGAAGAAGAGCCAGGGGAACGTAGGAGCTGCCTGAACCTTACCGCACAGCTGCCAGGACCTGCGGGTCAAAGGTCACAGCCAGTCAGTTGGGTTGGTAGAGGAGGACACACGGAGTCTGGATCAGGATCATTCATCTGTTTACCTGAGGCTTGGCCCAGCAGCAGCTCTGGGCTCCAGACCAGGATGCAGGCGATGTAGAGCAGCCAGGCCATCGTCTCCGTGGTGACACACCCAGCATCACTGTCCCTTTATAAACCTGCAGAAATGCTGAGTCATCTTGAGAGGGACCAACCATACCCTCTTTTTCCTCCTCATCTACCTGCTCAGGTGGAATCAGGAGTCCTAGACCATGACTCAAGAGGCAGGCAGCAGGCTGTGAAGCCCTCTGATTGGATGAGAGGAGGATCCCTGAAGCACAACTGATGAAGGTCAGTGATCAGAGCTTCGTTCAGGTTCAACCAAATAAATCTATCAACAACAGAACATCAGCTTGTCTCAAGAGATGATTCAAATAAATAATAGATAAAAACTCAGTCTGAACATGAATCTGCAAACCAACAGCAACACACGTCTTCCATGAACAAAGACCCAGAAACAATACAACTTCTGGAGTTATAAAACAAATCTTTGGCATTTAGATTGTTTTACATATTAACTGAATGGATTAACTGAATTAACTTATTCGATTGATCTTTGTTATAGAGACATGTTCAAAGAAACAATCCAATGATTAAAAAAATAAACTTGTATTTTTTCTGAGCTGGAAGGCTGAGGACGTTTCTTCCTCCAAATGGAACAAAGCAACACAAGTTTCATTTTTTCGCTCTAAGATGAGGACGAACCACGTAGCGGATCTAAAATCTAAAACCAGAAGAACTACATTTGAGTCTAAATAAGGAAAAAGCAGCAGTCAGTTTCATGACTCATCATTTCCTCTCATATTAACTCATTAGAGCACAAATCAGCATTTGGTCTCATCAAGTCCTTCTTCATGTTGGAGGAACACTCAGAATAAAACAGAGAAGAACTTGTGTACAGTGGAAATGTTTCCAAATATTTTTATTTGAACACTTATTTCATTTATTTAAATCTACAAAAGTACATCAGAAACACTTCTTGTGAAATCAATCAATCCATCCATCCATCCATCTTCTGAACCCGCCTGTCCAGCAGTGTCGCCGGGGGGGGGGGGGGGGGGGGGGGGCAATCAGACGGGGTACACCCTGGACAGAGAGCCAGTCCATCGCAGGGCAACACAGAGACACACAGGACAAACACCTAAGGACAATTTAGACAGACCAATCAACCTAACAGTCATGTTTTTGGACTGTGGGAGGAAGCCGGAGGATCCGGAGAGAACCAACGCATGCACAGGGAGAACATGCAAACTCCATGCAGAAAGATCCCACGCCGGGAAGCGAACCCAGGACCTTCTTGCTGCAAGGCAACAGCTCTAACCACTGCACAGCCTTTCTTCTGAAATATTGAAACCAAAAAAAAAAAAAACTTGCAGAAACAGAGGAAGTTGATTTCTGAAGAAGCTAAAACTCACACCAGGCTGTTAACCACAACTGACTCTACTCAGAGAGGTCAGGATGCTGCTGAACAAAAACCTTCTGCTGGTTCTTCTGATGTTTACTTCAGGTACGACTTCATCTTGCTGATTTTATCAGGCTCATTTATCTCCTTTGATTAGACTTCTTAAAAGAGGAGAATTCAGGTTTTATTTTTACGCTTTGATTCCACAAAAACATAAAAAAGTGAATATTTTAAATTTGACTCGTGAATTTTAACTCAAAGAAATTCCAGGTGTGGAACTTTTTTTAATCAATACATCTGCAGAGGTCTCTAGTAGGTATGAATACCTTGTAAGTCATCCTCTGGGGGAAAAAGCTCTGGTGTGCCCGTTTCAGGAACTAGAAGGTTGCTACATCAGCGATGAGCTGAAGACGGCAGGATTTGGAGTCCTATTTTCTGACATGTGGACATCCGGGTTAACCCTAAAACTCAGCTGTAGTTGTTCTGGTTCCAGGTGTCGTGGGTCAAATGGTTCAATATGGATTTATTTCCACCTGTGCAGTGAGAGGATCGACCGTCACCCTCCCCTGCTCTTTCACACCTTTAGCATCCTTTACAGAGGATGGAAAAGAAATTCCTCTGAAGATCGTCAGAGTCCGTTGGTGTGTAAACCATGAAATCTGTCAGACAACAATCCCATCTGTGTACGACAGCAACTCATCCAACAACGACCCTCGATATCAGTACCTGGGAGACATGAAGTCAAACTGTACTTTACAGGTCAGAGATGTTCAGATGATCGATAATGCAACCTTTCGCTTCAGGATGGAAGCTGATAATGTAAAAGGACATTTTACAAAACGAGGAGATGGAATGGACGTGAGAGTCGTTGGTGAGAACACGTTTCATCCTGACTCGGATATGAATCCGTTTTAATAAAAACTAATATTTAATTTTATTACAGAGGCAACTAAAATGAGCATAAAGAGCTCCAGCAGCAACAGCACGTTCAGAAGGGGTCAAACTGTGTCACTGCAGTGCACCTCTGGAGACTGCACTGTCCACCAACTGGAGATCACCTGGATTAAAGATGGCCGTGCCCTCTCTGAGACTAGCCCCGCCCTCCTGCTTGGCCCTCTGACTCTAGAGGATTCTGGGAATTACTCCTGTGTTCTGAAGACCGACAACGAGACGCGGTCAGATCCGTTCAGGCTGCAGGTGGAGGCGGGTTGGTGTTAAAGGTTTTCTGTTATTGTTTCTCTGTGTTTTAGGGTGTTTTGTTCTCAGATATTTTTCTTCCCTTTCTTGTCTTTTTGGATCGTAAGAATTTCCTGTACATACGTTTGTCCTGTTTCTTCCGCTACTTAGTTCACCTGAAACCATCTGATTTATTTCAGAGTGGATAAATTATTATTGGATTGACCTTGTTAATATAAATTCTTCTTCGCAGAAACCAAGATGAGCCCAGGGTTGATAGTTCATCTGGTTCTGTTCAGTGTGCTCACAGTGCTGTTCATCATAGTCGTGTCCCTCACTATCAAAAGGTGAACTCCATGTTTAAACAAACCAAAAACATCTGTCTGCTTGTGTCTAATTCTGTCATTTCTAAATTGTTACAGATTGGCGGAGAGAGCTCAGACACAGCTGGAGGTACAGGTGAGTCACCTATGGCAGCTGGTGAAACAAATTCTTGGTGGAACTATTTGTGAAATATTTCCCTTGTTAGCAGTAGCCTAGGCGGAGAGGCCCCGACTTCCCTCTCCCCAGCCACTTGGGCCAGCTCCTCCGGGGGAATCCCAAGGCGTCCCCTGGCCAGGTGAGAGACATAGTCCCTCCAGCGGGTCTTGGGTCTTCCTTTAGGCCTCCTCCCTGTTGGACGCGCCCAGAAAACCTCACCAGGGAGGTGTCCAGGAGGCATCTTAACTAAACGCCTGAGCCCCCTCTACTGGCTCATCTTGATGTGGAGGAGCAGCGGATCTACTCCAAGCCCTTCCTGGATGACTGAGCTTCTCACCCTATCTCTGAGAGAAAGCCCAGAAACTCTGCGGAGAAAACATTTCGACCGCTTGTAACAGCGTTGTTTTGGTCACTAGCCATAGCTCACTACCACAGGTGAGGGTAGGAACATAGGCCGACAGGTAAATTGAGAGCTTCGTCTTCTGGCTCAGCACTCTCTTCACCATGACAGACTGGTACTGCAGAGCCATGTCAACCAACACAGCCCCACAACATCCAGAGCCTTAAGGAAATCCGGGTTGACCTCATCCACTCCCGGAGCCCAGACACCAAGGAGTTTTTTTTGACAAATTAAGACACTGAAACATCACAATATTTCTGGTTATTACTTTGAGAGCAAATTATTGATTTTTTAGAATTTATATGCAAACATTTATTTCTTTGTGTGCTAAAACTGTCTCTGGCCTCTAGGTGGCAGCAAACAGAATGAGATGTCATGATGACACTGGCTGTGTTTTGTAAGCATTTTGCCAGATTTTTAAAATAAATTCTGACTGATAGCTCATACCCACATTTTTGTTGACCTGTACAGTGAATGCATCGTAACATTTTGGGGTTTTAGCATAGAAACACATCGGCGAAACCATAGACACACATAAAGGAGTGTGAAGGTTAAAGTTTAATGGAACTGAAGCGCCCCCTAGTGACGGGCTGCAGGACAAGTTTTGACTCCGTTCCTGATGTAAACTGATAATCTCTGGAGAAAACTTCCATGTATTGTGTCCTGCTCTCACCTTGCTGCTGTTGCTTAACTGTAAGTGGCTGGGATGCTTAAATTAAAGAAGAGACTTTCAGCCCAACAAATGAAAAGCCGCCCTTCGTGTAACAGCCATCATCACTTTTCAGCAGTGGAGGACGGATGACGTTACATGTTACTTGTAGTTTCTTCTGCCCCACCCGTGTGCTCGGAGATTTCCTCGTTCCAAGAAAGCTGTGTGAAAAAAACCTGGCCATGTGCAACCGGCTGGCACTACGAGGACCGGGCTGGGCCGACCCAAGTGTGAATGCATCATCAGTGAGTTGATGGCGACAACAGAGTGACTGCATGAAAGCATAAGAACCTTTCCCACAAACCCCTGCTACTGAAATCAGAGAAAACAGAAAAATAATTCTCAGTTGAACTTTTGAATCATTGATCAAGTAAACTAGACGTTCAGAGCTTCACTAATTAAAATAATTATTCTGATTGTCCCTGTTACTTTCAGGAATTTCCCAAATGTTTTAGATTACATGATTGATGGGACAAACAGATTTTGTTTATTTCCCTCAAAATTGTGATTTGAGGAATAGCTGAAGTTTTTAGGAAAAATGCTATTAAACATTTCTGCCTAATTTTATTTCTTACGTTTTCACAAGACCAGAACTAGCTGTAACAAGATTCAGGAAGCAGATAATGTTTATTTTTTGAAGAACTACGTTTGATGCTTATCTGGATTGACAGAAATGAATCGGAAATGACCTGTTGCTGGTGTGACTTGTTTTCTTAGAATATTACCTGTATTAACTGCATGGTTGAAAAGTCATGTCTGACTTTCATTGGTTAAATTTCATAGAATTTTAATATATTTGCAACAACTTCAAATCCACTTGTTTCACATTATCATTATGGGGTGTTGTGTGTTGAATTTTATGGGCAAAATGAATTTAATCCATTTTGGAATGAGGCTGTAACATAAACAAAAAAGTGGAATAAGTGAAGCGCTATGAATACTTTCTGGATGCACTGTATTATTACTTTTGTCAGATTCAAGTTCTTTCTGTGACCATCATGGGCTTTTCTGTCATTGACTGAAGAGTTTACCAACAATTTTATCCATGTCTGTATATTAATAATAAACAAAAACATTGACCATTCCCCCAAAATTCAGTATAAGGCGAAATTCACCGAGCAACACTGCTCTCCTCACGGCTGCTGCAGTACCACACCTGACTGCACAGAGTTATCCCACCCTGCCTCTAGGGGGTGCTGTTGTGCCTCATTCCACAGAAACCAATTAGTGATACATTTTGTTGTAAATTCTGATTTTTATCCTGAAGCGTTTAATCATCTACTTATAGATTTTGATTCCAACATTCAAATGACTCTTATAATTTTCATTAATTCTAATTATGAACAGAAAACACTGATTGAAACAAGCTTCATATTTACCAACAAATTATTTGTCCATAATTATACTCAGTTTTCTAAACAATAATATCAAAGTTTATTTTTTCAGTTGACTTTATTTTTATTGCACCATTTTTGAACAAACGTCATCTCAAAGCACCATCAAATAAACACAAAGTTAAACAAAACAACTTCAACAAGTTTTTCTCAGAATTTTCCATCTCAGAAGACAAAAGGAGTTCTGGCCACTCTGGGCTTTTGTACAAAAATACTGTCAATAAAAGTTCAGTCAGTTTTTTATAAATTTTTACCAGTTTTTGTCTAATAATTTTTGGAGAGTTTTGATTGTTAGAGAACTTGATGTTTTTATTAGTTAAGAGCAGAGATGGAAATAACTCATGCTTTGGCATAAACAGACAATATTTGAGTTTTGGTCATTTATCTTAAACATTTTAGGCAGAAAATGATGTAAAACATCATAACTGAGTGGAAAACATCATATACCTAATCAGTTTCAGTAAAATACATGGCACCTGATCTACCTGAAGGAACATCTCCAGACTTCAGAAAGCTCAGAGTTCTCCCAGAAACCCCAAAGAACTGAGATGTAAACCACAAAAGTTTCTACGGAATCGAGGTGTTTCCTGAAGCTGCTGTTGATCATTGGTCTCCATGGTGATCTCTATCAGGAAGCTGACTTCCACCCACTTCTCCTTGTCCTCGTCCTCCTCTTCCCTAGCTCTACAGACATGTAGCCTCACACTCTCTCTGCGTGCTGAAGCGGTTTCTGTTTCCTCCACAGCCACCGTACCGGAAGCGGAAGCATCTGGATTGTTTGCTGTCATAGAACCACTTTATGGTGTACTTCCTGCACTGGCCAGAGTTTCTATTGAGAAGACAAACATCTGGATGGAGGAGAGGAGGACAGACGTTTCTATAAAGAGTAGCATTCATCCCACTGATGTAAAGTGATTGTTATTACTCATCAACAAACCCATCATCATCAAATATCTGTCTGTTTTCTACCTTTGGAGACAAAGCTGATCAGCGGAGTCGATGTGATGTTTCGACCTGTCAGACACACACCAATCAGAACCAATCAGATTACAGCTCTGACCTCCATCATTTTGAAAACAAAAAATAAAAAACAGGAAGAAGGGCTACGCTTTCCGTTATCTTTGTATTTTCATTCAAGTAAAGATGGCAGAAAGAGGTCAAAACACACAGGCAACATCTGAAGAGTGACCATATATGGTTAAAATAATTTAATGGTTTAAATAATAAAATGAAATATTAAGACCAAATTCCTCAGCAATGTGATTTGTCACATCTTAAGAATAAACCAAATAAAATACAATAGCATCACATAAAGAGTGGCATTATATAGCCTAACAACTTACCATACAGCATCCCAGAGCGTGGGATATTATTATCATTAAAGTTGGATCCTGGAACTGATTGCTGGCCGTTTTCTTGGCTCAGAACATCAGTGGAGACTTCATGCTCCGTCTGAACCAACACATCACTCAGTGGGTCGTCGGACTGAGAACTCTGTCTAAACACACAACCAAGCACACACATTCAATAAAAAATACACTCACAGACACTGGTTAACATTGTTAGGTTGGAAAAGATAGAGAACAAAGTAGAGACTCTGGCCCTTTAAGCACTCCTAGAGGAATAGAGGATAGAGCTGGAACACCTGTGTGACTGTTTAGGCTACAGCCTCAGACACACACAGAGGACAATGGATCAACCTAAAGAGCGAGTAAAACCTAAATCAAAAAATATGTATCATCAGTAATTGTGTAGTCAGTATTTTGGCATTATATTTAAAAGACCAAAACTAAACCTAAATTATAATTTCCTGTCTGTAAATCAGTTACCTGCTGATGAAGTCGTTTGGGTCCTTCAGACGGCTGCAGAAGGGCTTCAGTGAAGCAGGAGGATACGAGTTCAGACCCTCTGGAACAAAACATCCATTTTAACTTGAGTTACCTGAGTCCAATAGAACCAGTTTCAGATCTCAGAACCTCCACCAACGTAGCCTTCAGAAAACACCTGACCAAACTTTAATAAACTAGATCCTTTCCGTTATACCAAAGATCAGTTTATAAATCTGATCTCAGATCTGCAAGAGGGAAATTGGTCCAAATGTAACTTTAAATAATCTAACAGGCTGCTCTGATCTGCAGAACCAGTTTGGCCAGATTCTCTTGGACGTTGTGGTGTTTTAAGGCGGATCGGACCTGAGCGGTCTGGTTCTTACTGTTCAGGGTGGAGAGGAAGACTCTGAAGAAGCGCTGCACGTATTCCCGCTCGTTGGCCTCCAGCTGGTCCACGTGGATCAGATGCTGTTGGACCGGCAAACTGGCCAGCTCCTCCACCTGGGTCCGGTTGTAGCGGTTGCCGACTGTCACCACAAATACAGCCACGCCCTCACACTTGGCCTTCCGGGACATGGCCCAGTCGCTGAAGGATATCTGGTCGGCCACGAACACCAGCAGAGCCTTCTTCCTGTGTGGCCGGATCGGCCTCATCAGAACCTCCTGCAGGGCCGAGTCCAGTCCAGTCATTCCTAGCGGCGAGAAGGTGCCAAACTGCCTCAAGTCCTGGGGACTCTGAGCCAGCTGCTCCACCACAGAGCCCATTAGCTGCTGAGCTTCGACAATCTGGTCTGCCTGCATCTCCCTGGAGCCGTCTATAACCATGACGAGGTCTGTGTCCACCTGCTGAAGCGGTACCGGGTCCTGGATGAAGGAGCATTCCTCTGAGCGCCTGCAGGGATCTGGAAGAACATGAAAGAACCAACTGGCCTCATTAGAAGACGACCCACAAATGGACTCTTCAGCTTTGCTCCAACATCAAAAACAAGAAAAACAAAAATACTTAAATACTTCAGGAACAGGAAGTGAGGAGATCCTGACTAACAGTGGTTCCCGTGGCTCTGCGGGGTTCTGATCGGATATTTAAAAGTCCTACAGGTGCTGGCCAGTAAATTAGAATATCATCAAAAGGTTGAAAATATTTCAGTAATTCCATTCAAAACGTGAAACTTGTACATTATATTCATGCAATGCACACAGACCAATGTATTTCCGATGTTTATTACGTTTAATTTTGATATTTATAGGTGACAACCAATGAAAACATCAAATCTGGTATCTCAGAAAATTAGAATATTCTAAAGGCCAATGAAAAAATGTTTGTTTCTCTAATGTTGGCCAACTGAAAAGAATGAACATGAAAAGAATGTGCATGTATAGCACTCAATACTTAGTCGGGGCTCCTTTTGCCTCAATAACTGCAGTAATGCGGCGTGGCATGGACTCGATCAGTCTGTGGCACTGCTCAGGTGTTATGAGAGCCCAGGTTGCTCTGATAGTCGTCTTCAGCTCCTCTGCATTGTTGGGTCTAGCGTATTGCATCCTCCGCTTCACAATACCCCATAGATTTTCTATGGGGTTAAGGTCAGGCGAGTTTGCTGGCCAATCAAGGACAGGGATACCATGGTCCTTGAACCAGGTGCTGGTGGTTTTGGCACTGTGTGCAGGTGCCAAGTCCTGTTGAAAGGTGAAGTCTGCATCCCCATAAAGTTGGTCAGCAGCAGGAAGCATGAAGTGCTCTAAAACTTCCTGGTAGACGGCTGCATTGACCCTGGACCTCAGGAAACAGAGTGGGCCAACACCGGCAGATGACATGGCACCCCACACCATCACTGACGGTGGAAACTTTACACTGGACCTCATGCAACGTGGATTCTGTGCTTCTCCGCTCTTCCTCCAGACTCTGGGTCCTTGATTTCCAAAGGAAATGCAGAACTTGCTTTCATCAGAAAACATAACTTTGGACCACTCAGCATCAGTCCAGTCCTTTTTGTCCTTGGCCCAGGCGAGACGCTTCTTGCGCTGTTTCTTGTTCAAGAGTGGCTTGACACACGGAATGCGACACCTGAATCCCATGTCTTTCATGAGTCTCCTCGTGGTGGTTCTTGAAGCGCTGACTCCAGCTGCAGTCCACTCTTTGTGGATCTCCCCCACATTTTTGAATGGGTTTGTCGTCACAATTCTCTGCAGGGTGCGGTTATCCCTAGAGCTTGTACACTTTTTTCTACCACATTTTTTCCGTCCCTTCGCCTGTCTGTTAATGTGCTTGGACACAGAGCTCTGCGAACAGCCAGCTTCTTTAGCAATCACCTTTTGTGTCTTGCCCTCCTTGTGCAAAGTGTCAATGATTGTCTTTTGGACAGCTGTTAAGTCAGAAGTCTTCCCCATGATTGTGGTGCATTCAAAACAAGACTGAGGGACCTTTTAAAGGCCTTTGCAGGTGTTTTGAGTAAATCAGCTGATTAGAGTGGCAGCAGGTGTCTTCTATATTCAGCCTTTTCAGAATATTCTAATTTTTTGAGATACCAAATTTGGAGTTTTCATTAGTTGTCACTTATGAATATCAAATTTAAATGTAATGAACATTGGAAATACATTGGTCTGTGTGCATTGCATGAATATAATGTACAAGTTTCACGTTTTGAATGGAATTACTGAAATATTTTCAACCTTTTGATGATATTCTAATTTACTGGCCAGCACCTGTATATCATGCAAAATCCACTTTTTAGAGCTTTTGACCATAATTATACTTTTTAAATCCCCCAGGGCAGTTTTTGGCTTCACACTTGCATTTTCCTGTCTCACCTCTCTCTGTGCTGCATCTGCATCACTGCAGATGCAGCACAGAGTGCAACATTCAGTTCGTTACTCTACGTATTTTAAACTACTTTTTCTTTATTTCAGACAGAGACCTCTTCTACGTCCTGGCTGCGATGCACCTCTGCAACTTTCTCTCAGACTGAATTCTATCCTTCACCGGTTACCCCGATCCTTCGGTACCCGGGGCGTTGATCTTGCTGTCATGACTAGGACATAACTGTGAAACTGCTCTCCAGGTCTGCAGCTTTGTACTATTGTGGAATTCACACGGGGAGACAGGCTTTGATCAAATTCATGCATCTTATTTCCAGGTTGAGTAAATGGCCCGTATTAATATAGCACCTTCTAGAGTCCTACAAGCCCCCAAGGTGCTTTACAACACAATCAACCATTCACTCACACACACATTTACACCCTGGTGGTGATAAGCTACATTGTAGCCACGGCTGCTCTGGGGCTCACTGACAGAAGCAAGGCTTACACTCGAACCTGCAACCGTCCAATTACAGAGCGGACACTTATCTCCTCTGTCACGTGAAAATAACTTATATTTCTTAAAATTAGTTCTCAATTGTGTCAACATGAATATTTTATCATATTGTTGCTCTGGAAGGTGAAAACAGCATGACACAGGACATTCTATCCGCTCCATATTTAGTTTGATAAAAACTGGATTATTTCAACATTTTAAAACCTGATTTTGTTCATTTTAATTTTTATGAACAATTATAAAAATATACAAGTTTCTCACCGTAACAGATGGCACAGTTCATGACCTTCATCAGGTCCTGCTGCCTCCTCAGCATCACGAAGATGGACCTCCCTGAGTCATCAACCTGCAATTAAAACAGCACCTCCTTTCTTCTCACGTCTGTAGGCCTGAACACTCTCAGCATCCCATAATAACAGCTGACCCTACCAGAAACATGGCTGCAGTTTAATCACTCAGAAGATGAATGTCTTTAGCAGAATGTTCATATAATCACAAGGGAAGTGGGAGATAAAGTCTGGAGGAGTTTGTGTGTTCTGAGTCCAGATGTTCAGTTAGAAAGTTCTCCCAGAACAGCAGTGAAATTTATCAGCTGCTGAGGAGACTCGAGTCTCCTCTGTGTTGGCGTCAGTGTGGAGGAGTAAAACACTCCAGAGGACGCTGATAAAGAGACGGAATTACAGAGACAGAGCTGGGATTTCCCATCTGACAGTAGATGACATCAAAATTTTAGACATCTTCAGTTAAAAAAGGTCCTACTTCCAGCAGAGTCATCACGTTTTATCTAACACACACACACACACACACACACACACACACACACACACACACACACACACACACACGCACGCACACACTTACCTCCATCACTTGGCTGACCCTAGGTGCTTTCTTCAGGGAAATCACCACTGGGACAATGTTCCGAGCGCTGTACTCCATCATGGCTGCAATCATATCATCCGGGTCCTGAGACGGCCCGTTGGAGAAGAAGACCGCCACCTTCCTTATCATCATGCCTGCTCTGGCACGTTTAAATATGTTCCGACCCACTGAGAGCATGGCGGCCCCTAGGTGGCGGCGGTCCGTTGTGCGCTCATAGGCAATTTTCTCCACAGCTTCTATCAGCTGTTTCTTTCTGTGATGCTCCTGGAAGCGGATCAGGTTCCTGGTGTATCTGCTGAATTCCACCACGGCCACCCGAGCACCCATGGGACAGTTGCTCTCTGCGATGGAGATGCTCTCCAGCAGGGAGAGTACGGCTTGGCGCTGCTTGTCAAAATCATCTGAGGACACATCCTCTGAGAGGTCCAGACTAAAGACCAGCTCGGTGGGGTACGCCGGGCACTGGGAACGACCTGAAACAGTTCATGTGTTAATGTTACCCTAACCCAAACCATATCCCTGCAGAGTTTCATTAAAGTACATATTTACATTCCTGAAAAACATAAATGATCTAAAGCATGTTTTATTTTTTATGTACCTGTTTTGTAAATTAAATACTTGGTCAGTTTATTGGTTTGTTTGATTCACTTTGGTTACATAATTTATTGATTAATTTAGTGTTCAAACATTATACGTCCAATGTTATTAGTGAATGAAAGTGAGAAACGTCTAGATATCGGCCGTGAAAATCTGCCCAAAAAAGCTGCTGCTCACCGCGCAGTATCTGCATTCAGCAAACCCATATTTATTCATCTGTAGTTAAATTATTTCCTTAAACCTGGTCTCTCACTGGGCTGAGACTAGAGACTAGTTAAACTTTCAGTCTGAGTCACATAGAGTTTAAATCCAACTGTCACACAAGACAGGGACACAACAACCCTTCAGTTAATCATCTTAAGAATGTCCTCCTGCAGATTTCTGTTTTCTCCTCATTTTAAGATGACTGATTTCTTAAGTGGACTATGATGTTTGAAGATCTGCAGTGAGAGCAGAAGAAGAGCTAGAGAGGTGGAGATGTGTCCTAGAAAGAATGGAACAAAGATTAGTGACAGCACGATAGAGTGTGTGTAACGAGAGGGACACGAGTGGAACGGTGATGTCACAGGGAGTAGACGTAAAAAGTCCAGGTCTACGGTCCACAGCAAGAGAAAGGAGAGAAGTGTGTGAAGCAGGTGTGATGTTTGATATAAGGGTTTCAGGTTTAGAGAACAGTTGTGGGAGCAGCCATGTTGTCTGGTTTAGATACAGTGTCCATGAGGACAAGACAGGAGGCAGAACTGGAGGTTCCAGATGTTGAGGTACTCTTTGGGAGTGATGAGGATGATAGGATCAGGAATGTGTCCATCAGAGGGACAGCTTGTGTTAGATGTTTTAGAGATGAAATTGGACCAAGATGGTTTGGACATGTCCAGAGGAGAGGCAGTGACTACACAGGAAGAAGAAGGACGCTAAGGTTGGAACCATCAGGCAGGAGAATGGGAGGAAAACCAACAAGGAGATTTATAGATGATGTAAAAGAGGACATGCAGGGTTGAGGACATGCAGGGTAGAGGATGCAGAAGACAGGGCTACATGAAGACAGATGATTGGCTGTGGAGCCCCATGAAGGGACAAGCCCAAAGAGACAAATGAAGACACACACAAAAAAAATAAACATTCAGACCAAAATGATTTGTTTCTCCAAAAGTCAGACTGGAGCCAAATGACCTTTGACCTTTCTGTAAATGAGCACTAATTCCTGCCAAATCTGTGTGACTAATGGATACGTTCCAACATCTAAACCCGTTCTGCTGCAGACTAACAGACGGGTTTCTCACATTCCAGGCAGCAGAAATCCAAACAGTCACAGATTTATTAAACAAATCACAATAAACCCAAAAGGTCAAAGGTCAAGCCATCGGGATGCTGAGCTGCTGGAAACTCGGAGGAAACATATGTTTACTCACCGCTCCTCTTGTGGTGGTAAACATGGGACATACGTACCGTCAGAACAAACTGTGGAGGAAAGAAAAGCGATTTAGAGTTGAAGCAGAGTTAAGAGTTCCTCATCATGTGGAATCATCTCCAGTTCCTCTCACCACAGCTGTCTCTAATGAAGGTGATCAGCTCACACTCCTGAAACAACACCAAAACACGTCTGATCAAATGTTTTTCCAGGTTTCAAGGTGAAGGGACTTTTAAAGTGGACTCACTGTCTTTTCCATTCTTCCAGGAGGACCTCGGTGTCCCTGGAAACAGTGTTATCATTACATTCGAGTAATCAGGTTTGTGTTTTAGAGAAGAGATGCCGGGACTCACCTTGTGTCCCGGATATCCTGGATCTCCAGGCAGTCCGGGCTGTCCTGAGCCTCCGGAGTTTCCCTACATGAACCGGACAAACAAAGAATCGTAGTTTAGGAAGGAAAAACTGTTCATCTGAAGAGAGAGAGAGTCCTGACTCACCCCTCGACCTCGGTTTCCTTTTTGACCCGGATAACCTTTGGTTCCCCCTTGACCCAGTTCACCCTGAACAAATCAAAGCAAATTGTTCTGATTCCCGTTTTTCTGTACTGAAGTTTGGCAGCACTGGCATCCTGGTCTGGGACCACATGATGACTCACCGGCTGACCAGGATAACCAGGAAAACCAGGAACTCCCTGAAATCAGAGAAGATTTTCTGGTTCTGATTTTGTGACAGAAAGATCATCAAAGTGTAAAAGCTGCCATCATTAGAGTTTATGATGGAGCTCATCCTGTCTGAAGATCTGGATAGAAATGTGTTTTTGTTCAGGCTGACTGAGGGCAGCTACCTTTGCACCTTTGGGTCCGTCAGGCCCTAAACCGTCTTCTCCATCGTTTCCCTGAAAGAGAAAAACACAAAAAAGTCAAGCTTCAGGAGAACATATGAGGCACCCTCACAACAGGAGATCAAAGATCACCAGGACTTTGATTTTATTGATAAACTTAATGATTGAGTCCAGAGTTTGAAAGAAGTCAGGTGTGAGTAACTAGTGGGTCAAACTTTGTAACGGTTAAAGCATTTGAAAAACTTTATTCACAAACATCAGAGTGTCTTTAGAGTGTCCCCAGTGTGTCTCCAGAGTGTCTCTAGTGTGTCTCCAGAGTGTCTCTACAGTGTCTCTAGAGTGTCCACAGTGGGTCACCACTGTGTCTCCAGTGTGTTTCCAAAGTGTCTCTAGTGTGTCTACAGTGTGTCTCCAGAGTCTCTCCAGTGTGTCTCCAGAGTCTCTCCAGTGTGTCTCCAGAGTCTCTCCAGAGTCTCTCCAGAGTGTCACAAGAGTCTCTCCAGAGTGTCTCCAGAGTGCCTCTAGTGTGTCTCCAGAGTCTCTCCAGAGTGTCTCCAGTGTGTCTCCAGAGTCTCTCCAGAGTGTCCCCAGTGGGTCACCAGTGTGTCTCCAGAGTGTCTCTAGTGTGTCTCCAGAGTGTCTCTACAGTGTCTCTAGAGTGTCCACAGTGGGTCACCAGTGTGTCTCCAATGTGTCTACAGAGTCTCTCCAGAGTGTCTCCAGTGTCTCTCCAGAGTGCCTCCAGAGTGCCTCTAGTGTGTCTCCAGGGTGTCACAGATTGTCTCCAGTGTGTCTCGAGTGTTTCTAGTGTCTTCAGATTGTCCAAACCTTCAGCCATGTGGGTTAAAGTCCTCACGAGACACAAAACTGGAATTTTTATTTATTACTCAACTATGAAGTAAACCTGAACTATAATGAACAGATGATGGGTCTCTTGTAGCATCTCAGGTAGGTTTGTGTTAATAACAGAAAAGCATCTGGCTCCTGGATCTGATGGGAGGAGTTCGGGTCCCTCTTCCTGCTGTCATGTTCACTTGGTTTAGTCACGTTTTATTAATGGAGCTCACAAGTCTGGGTTTGTGCTCTCAGCTACCAGGGTACCGCATTAATAACCTGGCTAAAAGACTTAAACGTAATTACTTAATGACAATGTGGTAAAGTGAACAGCCTTTAACTCAACCTTAACAGCAAACACACTGACTAAGCTGTTTCAGCCAGACCTGCAGGGACTTGGATGGAAGATTCCTCCTCTAAGTCCAGCTGGACCATTCTGATCTCACACGTCACTTCTGAATACTTGAGCTAACATCTACAGCCTTCAAGCGGAGCATGCTCAGCAGCCTACCGGCGGTCCTCGGGGTCCTGGCGGTCCTCGGGACCCCTTCACTCCCTCCTCTCCTGGTTGGCCCTTAAACAACAGCAAACAAGTTCTTTACAACTGAATCCAGGGTTTTAGGTTTATGTTGAGCAACAGTTTGGATTTTATCTACTAATAAAATTCAGGATTTAATCACAGGATGGTCAACCATCTACTCATTAGTCCAGACCAAAGACACATACACCTGTACAGGTATTTCTGGAATCAGGAGTGTATCTCTACGCTAACCTAAACACCAGTGAAGGTGTGAAATCTGAGAGAAACGTTTTAACTCTGGCCAGAACTGTGTCTGCATGTCCCGATGAGATGCCATCTGTGTTTGTTAGTCTGAGTGAAGCAGCTCACCTTCTGTCCGTTAGCACCAGTGTTTCCAGTTTGTCCCGGGCGTCCGACCCGTCCCGGACCACCCTGCAGAAGAAACAACAGACTCAAAGCTGGATTTATCAAACTGGGCTCAGTTCCCCAGAACCTGAACTCGATTGGTTGGTAGATGATAACTAAACTTATTTTCATCTGGAAAGCTAACTATCAGTTTTCATGGATACATATCCTGCTGACTTCTGATGTCTTGCTGTTCCTGTGATCTTCCAGGATCAAACTCTGAGTGAATCAAAGTCTCACCTGATTCAGGTGGATGGGGGAGTTCGTACCTGAGGTCCAGGTAAACCAAGCATCCCCTTTGGACCTGGCTCGCCGTGCTTTCCTTTGGGTCCCTGCAGACATTATGGATTAGCCGGTGCACCCAGACCACAGTTACTTTCAGTTCTGAACCCTGGAACACCCTCTGACCAAGGTCTGCTGATTGTCCCCCAACCAGAGGAGTCCAGAACACTGAGCCGTTCTGACCCAGACATCAGGGTCTCAGTGGCGTCTTTAGAATTTGCTGATATTTGATGTGTTTTGTGAAGAACTTTGTGCTTTATTATGTGGAAAGGTGCTTCATAAATAAAGTATGACACACTAAACCCTCCTGCTGATGACTAATGATATTGTTGTCACACACCTTGCCCAGATGTGCTTTTTTAACACATAAACGTATTTCCCTGAGATTCACAAACTCAGCGCAGCATCATGAGACAGCACAGCTCTGTCTTAGACTCCCTCTCTCTAGACACAAAGTTTTCCTTTCACTGAACAGCTCCAGTGGATTTCCGTGGAAGTTTGCCCTGCAGCCAGAACAGTTGTTCACACCAAAATCTACTAAATGGCATCAAAATGTTTACTTTCAGCTGCAAGTGGGATGGAGCCCAGCTGATTTAAGCGATACCACTTTGCTCTAACCAGAGCTGGTTTAATTCAATTCAATTCAATTCAATTCAAAAATACTTTATTAATCCCAGAGGGAAATTGATTGCTGTAGAAGCTCAGAATAAAAATGATAATCAAGTCATCAAAGAGTTGTTGTAGATTACAATGGTTGTTGGCAGGAAGGATCTCCAGTAGCGGTCAGTGTTGCAGCCAAACTGAAGAAGCCTCTGACTGAAGACACTCTTCTGTTGTCGGAAAGTCTTGTGAAGAGAATGCTCAGGGTTGTCCATCATTTTCTTGATTCTCTGGAGAATCCTCCTTTGCATAATCTCCTCCAGTGGTTCCACAGTCGTCCCCAGAACAGAACCAGCCTTTTTTATTAGGCTGTTGAGCCTTTTCAGGTCCCTGCTTCTGATGCTGCTACCCCAACAGACGATGGCTGAAGAGATTACACTCTCAACAACAGACTTGTAGAAGATCTGCAGCATCTTGCTACAGACATTGAAGGACCTAAGCGTCCTCAAGAAGTGCAGTCTGCTGTGTCCCTTCTTGTAAACGGCTTCACTGTTCTTTCTCCAGTCCTGTCTGTTGTCCAGGTGAACTCCAAGGTATTTGTATTCCTCAACCACTTCCACTTCTTCTCCCATGATGGAAACACTGACTCCACCCTGTTTCTTCTGAAGTCTAAAATCATCTCCTTTGTTTTGTTCACGTTCAAGGTCAGATGATTGTTTCCACACCATGCCACAAAGCGCTCCACCAGCTCTCTGTACTCAGTTTCCTGTCCATCTCTGATACACCCAACAACTGCAGAGTCATCTGGGTATTTCTGTAGATGACAGGTCTCTGATTTGTACTGGAAGTCTGAGGTGTACAGGGTGAAAAGGAATGGTGAGAGTACAGTCCCCTGTGGTGCTCCAATGTTACTGATCGCCTGGTTTGATGAGCAGTTCTTCAGCCTCACAAACTGTGGTCTGTTTGTCAGGTAGTCTTTAATCCAGGCGATAGTTGAGGCTCCCACCTGTGTCTTCTGGAGTTTCTGGCAAAGTACATCAGGCTGGATTGTGTTAAATGCACTGGAGAAATCAAAGAACATGACCCTCACAGTGCTGCCTGCTTTGTCCAGATGACAGTGGATTGGTTGAAGCAGCTGGATGATGGCATCATCAACTCCATGGCGATAAGCAAACTGCAGCGGGTCCTGATATGTTCTAGTTTGCTTATTCAGGTGGACCAACAGGAGTCTCTCCAGGACCTTCATGATGTGGGATGTCAGGGCAACCGGTCTGTAGTCATCATTGACTGATGGGCGAGTTTTCTTTGGAACTGGAACAAGGCAGGATGTCTTCCACAGGACTGGAACCTTCTCCTGGGCCAGGCTGAGGTTGAAGAGGTGCTGCAGAATCCCACAGAGCTGCTCCGCACAGGTCTTCAGTACTCTGGGGCTGACACCATCCGGACCTGCAGCCTTGTTCCTGTTCAGTCTCTCCAGTTGCCTCTTCACCTGACTTCTGGAGACAGATAGGTGGGAGGGGGAGGTAAATGGGGCAGCAGCATCTCCTGACTTGGTTGAAGGCAGATTTATAGAACCAGATGAGTCCATGACTGCGTTAGAGGACAAAAGAGCTGGCGTGTGACAGGAAAATGTTGGATCAGAGGAGGATGGGATGTCTGATTGGCTGGGGACAGGCGAGGAGGATACTGGGTTTGTTCCTGAACTGAACCTATTGAAGAACTTGTTCAGTTCATTGGCTGTGTCCAGGCTGCCATCTGTGCAATCCTTCCTCTGCTTGAAGCTTGTGATCTTCTTCATCCCTGACCAGACATCTCTGATATTGTTCCTCTGTAGGTTGTTCTCCAGCTTCTTCCTGTATGCCTCCTTGCTGTCTCTGATCTTGATCTTCAGTTGCTTCTGTTTATTCCTCAATAATTCCCTGTCTCCCTCCTTGAAGGCTCTTTTTTCTCATTTAGCAGATTCTTCAGTTCACTGGTGATCGAGGGTTTGTTATTAGTGAAGCATCTCACTGTTCTGGTGGGTATGATATTGTCCACACAGAAGTTTATATAGTCAGTGACACATCCAGTCATGGCATTGATGTCCTCTTCATATCCTTGGCAGAGAGTCATCCAATCTGTGGTCTCAAAACAACTCTGCAGGGCTTCTTCAGCGTCCTGTGACCATTTTCTCACAGTTCTTCTTGTCACAGGTTGCCTCTGAACAAGTGGTTTGTATTCCGAGCAGAGAAAAACAAGATTGTGATCTGATTGTCCCAGAGGAGGTCTTGTTTTGGACATGTATGCATTCTTTACATTTGCATAACACAAATCCAATGTCTTGTTTTCTCTGGTGGAGCAGCTGACAAGTTGTTGAAATGTTGGAAGTGTAGCAGAGAGTGAGGCATGATTAAAATCACCAGATATAGCCACAAATGCATTGGGGTGCTGGGTTTGTGGCTTAGCGACAACGGAACTGATGGCATCACATGCATTTTCAGCAATGGCTGAAGGTGGAATATAAACGGTTGCCAAGACAACACTGGTGAACTCTCTTGGCAAATAATATGGGCGAAAACTTACTACCAAGAGTTCAACATCTGGGCTGCAGAGACGACATTTCACTGAAACATGACCTGGATGGCACCATCTGTTGTTGACAAGCACTGCCACTCCACCTCCTTTTCTTTTCCCGCTCCTCTTCAGATCTCTGTCTGCTCGTACAGTCAGGAATCCTGGCAGAGAGATGCTGGAATCGGGGATATGGTCCTGCAGCCACGTCTCACTGAAACACATAACACTGCACTGCCGATACTCTGGCTGAGTCCTTGAAAGGGCTTGGAGTTCATCCATTTTGTTGGCCAGTGATCTCACATTGCCCATTATGATCGATGGAAGAGATGGTTTGAATTTCCTCTTTCGCTGTCTCCGTTTTGCTCCCGCTCTGCACCCACGCTTCTTGTGTTTTAGCTCATTTGGGATTTGTGGCTTCAGTTGAGGTATTATTTCAGCCTTCCCAATGTTAAGCAGCTGCTCCCGAATGTAAACCAGCTGATACTCAGATGTAGGGCTGCAACTAACGATTATTTTCATAATCGATTAATCTGTCGATTATTTTTTCGATTAATCGATTAATCGGTTTGTTATTGTTTAGCTATTTAACCTATACAAGTGATGGATGCATTTCAGTTAAGAACAAAAAAACATAAGAGAATTGTGCAGTTGACTGCAATCTATTTTATTGCACATGAACACAGTCAGCAGTATAAAATGAGCTAAACAGTGCAAAATATCAGTCCAGAATAATTTTTAGCATTAGCTGGAAGCCTGCTCCTTCCACCATGGATAGTGGCCTCATGTCTTTTACCAGCATGTTTAGAATAGAGTTTGTAAGTGGTATGAATTGCTGGGGGGTGAGTGTCTTCTTCCCCATGTAGTTGTCCATCGTTGCTTGTTTTTTTCTGCATAAGAAACACAAATAGACTGAAATAAGTACACATATAAAATAAAGCAGCACACACACTACAACACTAAATCAATATTATATTATTTGAATTAATTAACAATATACAGTGATCATTTATTTTGAGGGTTACGTTCTACAAAATAGCCCGCAACAGGAGATATTCAGAAAAAAAGTAAAACATTTTTACTATTAAAAAGCTCTAAGTAAGAAGCTCATGAGGTTTTTACTTTGAGTCGGGAGTGTTTAAATTAGCCAGAGAAATGTGAAAAATGTTTATTTTGTGTAATACTGTTTAAGAAACATGATAAAAATGTGTTGTGAGGCGTTTTACAGCGTTAGATAGTAAAACAGCCTTTTAATAGTAAAAAAATGACTTTTTCTGAATTTCTCCTGTATTTAAAAATTGAAAGTGTACAACTATGCCGCGTTATATTCACCTGGACACAGCTTGTCTGTATATTTTTCTCCGCGGAGTTGTCCTTTTTTGAATGAGGAACATAGTTATGGGTTTGTGCCGTTTTTCTCTTAACGAGAACATTCTTATAAACAGACGTGCTAAATTTGGCAAGCGCATGATACACAACACGGAGGAGATTCACGATTGCATCTAGTCAATCAGAAGTAGAACACCGCAGACTGACGCGGCAAAAAAACATGTTTAACATCCACTATAACGAACTCAGCTAAAACACTAAGTCCAGCTTGTTTATTTTCTGTTACTTACCGGGCTGGCTCTTCCAAATGACGGCTCACATGACCGCGGTGCTCTTCCTCTGCTGCATCAGCCCCCACATGCTTTCGTCTCAAATGTGCTCCCATACTCGTGAGGTTTTTGTCCGGGGTTTCTCTTCAGTTTTGTCGCTTCTATTTTTCTTCCGTATTTCCTCTTGTTCCGCCATTTTCTCACAGCAAGATGAGCGTCAGTAACGTGATACGTCATGAAAACCGAGGGCACCCATTGGCTCATTTCTTCTTCTACGGCTCCACTGGTAGATCAGTGGCTCATTACTGCCACACACTGGCGGCAAATTTAACAGCTTGTAACCGATGTCAGATTGTGGTAAAAAATAGACTTTATGCGGTAAAATATGATTATTAAACAACTAATCGATGACTAAAAAAGTTGTTAACTATTTTAATAATCGATTATAATCGATTAAATCGATTAGTTGTTTCAGCTCTACTCAGATGATCCAAACATGAAAGGTTTATCCTGCAGCTGGGGTGTGGGCTGCATCTCTCTGCAGACCTTCAGAGGTGGCTCCATGAGACTCTGACCATCTTAAATGTGAACGATATTAATATTTAAATAAGAAAAAGGCCTTTCTCCATCAAGATCTCCTGCTGCACTCTATACCTGATCCAGTTTTAAGTGAATCAGTGTTGCTTTTGTTTTATCTCAGGCTTTGGGACTTTGTGTAGAAACTTAACTTTAGTCAAAAACAGCGTTTTTCACTTTTTTTCTGATGTTTTTCACATGTGTGTCTTGTCAAGCACATCTAAACTCTGAATGACAGTAAAACTGGGAAGTCTAGGTGGATTAGAGCAGCTTCCTGCTGATCAGGAGGTTTGTGGTTCAAACCCCAGGCAGCAGACTGTGACACTAGAAAGGAGCTGTTAAATGTTTGTAAGTATATTTCCTTTAGCAGCTGTCTGCGTCGCCTCATAACGACCTCTCTGTTGGGTAAAATCTGAATGCTGATAGGCAGAGTGGAGAATGTGATGCTCATGGACAACAAACTAGATTTCCTATGAAGTTTTATTCTATTGGTAAACAAAGAAACTGATCAGCAAGCAGTGAGAGAACGCAGAAGGAGCCAGAAGGACGTTAGCTGGAGGACTGAGATGATTCTACTCACCCGTGGACCAGAAGCACCCGCGGCACCTGGAGGTCCTCGAGCTCCTTTCTCTCCAGGTAAGCCCTGAAGAAGTAGATCAGTAAAAATTCTGATCTAGAATCAGTAGAAGGCCTAATGTGTTTAACCTACCGGGTCGCCACCAGGGCCTCTTCTCCCATCTCGACCCTAGACAGTAGAGAACGCGCGCTGATTAGAGCTTTCTGGTTTATAACAAAACAAACACTAAAATACTAAAATACCTGAAACATCTCACCTGGAATCCGGGATCTCCATCCTGACCTGGCAACCCGTCTCGACCCGGAGTGCCCTGTGGACGGAAACATGATGTTTAGCTGTGATGTCTGACTCAGCTCCTCTGTAGAGTTCCCAGGATTCTCCTGGAACGCTGTGGATCTGTGTTTTGGTGTGGCTGGACATCAGCTCAGCACTACACCGGTCTGTATTTTAACTGTTTAACACAAAAGGTAAGTTTTGCACAAAATGTCACATTTAAACCTTCAGTTCTGCGAAAGAATTTACATTTCATCTCTGTTGATTTGCTGCTTTGAACCTTTGAGTTCTGTTTCTATTTGCTCTGCAGAAGTTTTAGATTTATTTTTTAGTCTCGTGTGTGTTTCTCATCTGCGAAGCAGGTGGAGTTGCTCTGGTTTTGGAACATGGTGTAGACAAGTCTTCTTACCGGAGGTCCCGGGTTTCCAGGGTCCCCGCGGGGTCCTGGACTTGTGTTGTCGGTTCCGGGTTCGCCCTGTTGGACCAAACACAAAGTCGTGACCATTTGAAGAAATAAAGCTGTCAGCGTTTCCCCAGCTGGAGATCGGTCCGCTGCAGTGGTTCCAAACAGAACAAACAGCTGACACCAGCATAGATTTATTGTTTATAACAAAATCTGATCTGAGCCTAAACAAACCAAGTGGGCTTCGTCTCTGTTTCGGTCACTTTGTTTGACTGTAGAAACGTCTTCAGAGGAATGCAGCTGTTTGTCCCAGCTGTTGGACCTAAAGAGAATTTGGGTTTGGTTTTTAATGCAGATTCTTCACGTCCAAACATTCAGGTCTGATTTGTGTTTGTTGACGGAGTTGGTTTTTATTTCGGTTCGATTGCTGTTAAAGGCAACAGTAAATCAGGGCTCATGTCCCCCAGCTGTTTGTTTGTTGACATGTTTAGTATGCAGCTCTGGTTCTCAGGGAGCTAAATCCTCACTTCCTGTTTAGATCAGACTGGATGGTCGTTCCAGCAGATAGCAGCTGATAAATCAAAGACGAGGAGTTGTTAGTGAGTCTACAGTAAATGGCAAAGAAATTCTAAAACTCACCGAATCTCCTCTCAGGCCTCGCTCCCCCTTCAGCCCCGCCTCCCCTCTGGTACCTGGTTTCCCCTGAGGATGACAGGTTATCCAGGTAAGCTCTGATGTGATTGGATGACAGCAGGCTGACTAAAGTCTCTGATCCTGACGCCGTTGTTTTATTGTTGTAGACCCACTGGGTCGTCCCTGACAAAGGCAGGCAGACTCATGTGTCCTGGTCTATGTCCTCTAAAGTCCCTGAACTGGGACACATTTTATCTAAAGAACTGATGAAAGACAGAAAACAGAACCCATAATGAGCAGAAATAAACAGTTTTTGTATTTTACTGATTTTCCTGGGTCTCCTTTAGCTCCTGGAATTCCATCTTTTCCGGTTTGTCCCTGAAAACACAAGAACAAAATCTCAGTTCCCCGCTGAAGCTCCACAGACATCCTGTTATTTCCACAGCTTCTCAGCGACAGCGGAACCATCTGATGGTGTCCTGCTCTACTCGTAATCAGACTCAGACCCACATCCAGCAGAAGGGTCAGCGCTCCGGTTCTTTCACAGATTTCTACCAACATCAAACTGCTTCCAAACAAGGTCAAGTTCAGCATTCCCTCTTCCATCAATGCTCCACTTCAGAGAACTAAACACCTGAGAGATTAAATGGAGCATGTCCCTGATGCACTTTCGGATGTCAGACCTCAGCACAGATCAAACCCTCAAATTGTGTCTTCTTAAGCTTTTCTGAGTCAAACGTTTAAATCGTCAAGTTGCTGAAGAACAAATATTTTCAGTCAGCTTGTAAACAGAAGACAGGGTGAGATTCTTCCAGAGAAGATCAAATAAACTCCTACCTGTTCTCCATTCACTCCATCCAGCCCTTCTTCTCCTTCTTCGCCCTGCGGCGTTGGAAAGCAATCAGCTGTTTCATCTCACTGATAAACAAACTCTCACCTGGTCTGGCAGCAGGCGTCAGAGACTCACCTTCTCTCCTGAGTAGCTATGAGATCCCTGCAGATGAAACATCAGGATGGTCATTCAGGCAGTCGGATGTGACAAAATAACTCAAACAAAAAACAAAAATTCAATAATCAATAAAATGCTATGAATGTTTTTAACAGCAGAGGTAATAAAACTAGAAAAATAAATACAAAGAATGAAACAATTAATTAAAGAGAATAATTATAGTAATTCAAATAATAACACATTTAAAGTGAAAATAAAATAATTAAAAAAAAACAGAAACAGGAAGGCTGAATTATTAGCCAGGGCCAGAACAGTTCTGTTCTGATTCATAACTGAGAATTTAAAATAATCAAAATAAAAAATCCAATTAAATCAAATGTAACAAACAAAAATAAAGCAATAAACCAGGCAGGAAACTCAACAGCAATAAAGTTCTAATTTCTCCAACTAATTTACATTAAAACATTTAAGGAAAATAAAAAAAACATATTTATATTGGAGGACTTTATAAATACTAACTCAACTAACAAACAAAAACAAAAAAAGACAAAAAATGACATTTTTTATTTTGTGAAATGCCGTTCCCGGGAAGATCCGAGGTTACGTTTTCTGTTGGAGAAAGAAAAATACCATTTATGCTTTTAAAAGCCAATTTTTGGTTCTCTTACTAAAATTTTAGTTTAGTTTATATTTATATCTATAAATGTTTTATAAATTATAAATAACAGAATCCCCATTTTGTTTTAACTAATGAATAAATGAAAGATTATGATTCCAGAAGTAAACACTCTGGATTTGTTTTTGGTAGCATGAATTAATTTTTTATTATTGAGAGAAAAATAGACTGAATTAAAGTTTCAGATCAGCTGATCACAGATAAGCTGTGAATATTAGTCGAGTCCCGATCACCAGATTGTCTAACAGCCCAGAATCAGGAGTTTTGAGTCACCGTTAAGAATTCATTTGATGCATAAAATACCTGGAGGTGTGACACACCTGGACAGGAGTGTAGGGGTGAATTTAAGAGTCTCAGTCATATAAATGTGTGTTTGGTACCTTCGCTCCTCTGAATCCTGGACATCCAGCAGAGCCCTGAACTCCATTAGGTCCCGGAGGTCCTCGAGGCCCCTGAAACAACCACACCAGGTGAGAGTTGCTCTGGAACGCGCACAAAAATTACCCACAATACCACCTAACTAGACCTGTTCTAAGTTTTCCACATTTAAAACAAACATGTGTGTTCAATCAGAGGTATTTTATGTGTGTGTGGGGTTTGATTCTGAGCTTCGCCCCACTCCGTGTTCCCGGTGTTACTAAAACAAGTAAAGAGGAACTCACGTGGTATCCTTCATCTCCCGGAAATCCTGGGTGGCCCTTCAGTCCAGGAGAACCCTGGAAACAAGCCACAAACGCATCCAGATGCAGAAACATCAGCAGAAACGTTGACGCTGTTGTCGTGTGTTTGCTAAATCTTTTTCAACAGGCAGCATCATTGGAAGCTTTATTCTAAACATTCCTTACTTGGAATGTTCTGATCTAAGACTGGGCACTGTTTCCTACAACAGAACTTTTTGGGAGCTGCTTCTAAATGAGTCATTTATAGATTATAATATGTTATTTTAGATTCAGAATCTGAGCATGAAAAAGATCTTACATCCTGAACAGTTTGGAGCAGCTGGGTTGGTTATTTTAGTTATGGAGTATTCAGATAGACACGGCATGAACAACACCAGCTACTCCTGGGCTCCACTCTCCACTATCAGATCTATGTGTGCTCACCTGGATGTGCACATCTTCAGAGCCTTAGTCTTCATGTAAGAAGCCACCAGTGACCTACTACGTTTTTTAACCCTCCCACTGTCCTAATGGGTGTGACCTCACGGGGAAAGTTGACCGCTGAGCAGGATTGATGGTTTATCCCTTGAGGTCCATGTGGCAGGGGTGAGGTGGTGCTCACTCCTCACCCCTGCCACATGGACCCAAGGGGTAAACCATCAACCCTGCTCAATGGTCAACTTTCCCCGCGGGGTCACACCCTTTAGGACAGTGGGAGGGTTAAGTTGACCAAGTATTCATCTTAAATGTTGTTCGTCTCTCTGCTGTAAGATGATGAAGGCTCAGCTGGTCTTATCTAGTTTGAATCAGACACATCAGTTGTTTCTATTAAACATGTGAGCTTTCACATGGGTTAATCCTTTAAACAGCACTGATTTCAAAATGATCACTACTGACCTCACACTGATCACTCATAAACTCAATAATGGGGTATCTGACTGAATGCTGAGATCAGACGTGATATTTCCCTTAAAGTTCTTGCTGATCTAAAATTGTTCCTTTGGTTACTGCCCCCATTCTAGATATAATCAATCTATCCTTAGTAAATGGATATGTACCACAAGATTTTAAGGTTGCTGTAATCAAACCTTCACTTAAGAAGCCTTCTCTGGATCCAGATGACCCAATGAATTATAGACCAATATCTAACCTTCCATTTTTATTCAAAGTCCTGGAGAAAATAGTGGCCATCCAAGTATGTCAGCATTTAAACACTAATGCTCTGTTTGAGGAATTTCAGTCTGGTTTTAGAGAGTATCACAGCACTGAAACTGCATTAGTGAGAGTTACAAATGATATTCTCATGGCCTCAGATAAGAATCTTGTGTCTGTTCTAGTCTTGTTAGATCTCAGTGCTGCCTTTGACACAGTTGATCACAATGTTCTTTTAGAAAGACTTGAACATGTTGTAGGGATCAAAGGAACAGCGTTAGGCTGGTTTAAATCCTACCTGTCTGACAGATTTCATTTTGTAAATGTACATGACAAATCGTCTTCATACTCCAGGGTTACTTGCGGAGTACCACAGGGTTCAGTGCTTGGACCAATTCTTTTTACTATATATATGCTCCCAACTGGTAAAATCATTAGACAGCATGGGATAAACTTCCACTGTTATGCTGACGATACTCAGGTATATTTATCCATTAACCCTGATGAACCTAATCAGTTGGGTAGATTACAGGCTTGTCTTGAGGACATAAAAAATTGGATGACTCTAAACTTTTTGCTTTTAAATCAAGACAAGACGGAAGTTCTCATCTTTGGACCAGAAATCCAGAAAAGGAAATTGCTTAGCCAATCGCCTGACCTTAATGGCATTACATTAATCTCCGAGAACAAAGCAAGGAACTTGGTGTTATCTTTGACCAGGACATGTCATTCAAATCCCAGGTTTCACAAGTTTGTAGGATTTCCTTTTTCCACCTTCGGAATATTGCTAAGATTAGAAGCATACTTTCCAGGAGTGATGCTGAAAAATTAGTTCATGCATTTATTACATCAAGACTGGATTACTGTAATTCATTACTCTCAGGAAGTCCACAGAATGTAGTTAAAAGTCTTCAGCTTGTCCAAAATGCTGCAGCTAGAGTTCTGATGAGAATTAAAAAGAGAGATCATATCTCTCCTGTCTTAGCTTCCCTACATTGGCTACCTGTTAAATTCAGAATAGATTTTAAGATCCTTCTTCTCACATATAAAGCTCTTAATAATCAAGGTCCATCATACATCAGTAATCTGATTGTTCCATATGTTCCTAACCGAGCACTTCACTCTCAGACTGCAGGTCTACTGGTGGTTCCAAGAATATCTAAACTTAGGATGGGAGGCAGATCTTTTAGTTATCAGGCTCCTCTCCTGTGGAACCAGCTCCCAGCTTTAGTCCGTGAGACAGACACTTTGTCTACTTTTAAGACTAGGCTTAAAACATTTTTATTTGATAGGGCCTATGGTTAAAATCTGATGTTAGCCTAAATCTGGACAAGTGGGGGAGTACAGGGAGGTGGAGTGTACAGTCGGTAAAGACGGCTCTCCCTTGCCCTGCCTCCAACATGCCTACATCTAAATAGGATAGATTATCCTGAGTTATCTCTGTAGTTATGCTGCTATAGGCTTAGACTGCTGGAGGATACACTGACCACTTTTCACACTCTACTGCTTTCTTCTACAGTCTGCTTTTTAACTGTACTATTTTGTGCAATTTCAGCTGTTAACTTTATTTTCTCTGTAAGTCTTTTTCTCCCCAGAAGAAGCTACAATGACGTTCTGCTGAGCTGTGGTGGCCTCATGGAGGGGGCCATCGACTAGCACACTGCTGCTAACCACTAACACATTCTCTCTCTCCTGATAATAACTTTTTGCTTTCCTTGACGTTGGATGTGCTACTACTAGTTTATCCATTTAATTATAGATCCACTAGGATAAATACAATAAAGTTTATCTCTCACCAAATAGAATATTTACTAAGACATCACAATATAACTATAGACACATTACTTTGTCTTTGTCTGTGTGCGTGCGTGCGTGCGTGTGTGTGTGTGTGTGTGTGTGTGTGTGTGTGTGTGTGTGTGTGTGTGTGTGTGTGTGTGTGTGTGTGTGTGTGTGTGTGTGTGTGTGTGTGTGTGTGTGTGTGTGTGTGTGTGTGTGTGTGTGTGTGTGTGTGTGTGTGTGTGTGTGTGTGTGTGTGTGTGTGTGTGTGTGTGTCTGCCTGCTCTGTCTTCTCGATCCCCAGTGAGTCGTGGAGGATGGCTGCTTATACTGAGCCAGGATTCTCTGGAGGTTTCTTCCTGTTAAAAGGGAGTTTTCCTCTCCACAGTCGCTGAATGCTTGCTTAGTATGAGGATTGCTGTATAGTCACTGACACTAGTCAGTGACTTGATGCAATTTGCTGGGTTCCTTATATAGGAAACATTATTTCTGATTGGCTTAATGAACTGTGAATTGGAATGTTTATTATATGAAGTGCCTTGAGACGACTCTTGTCGTGATTTGGCGCTATATAAATAAACTTGAATTGAATTGAATTTAATTGGAATTTCATGACCCCGGACAACGTTTTTGATTTCTCTCTCACCTTTGTCCCAAGTGCGCCAGGAGTACCAGGTATGCCTTGATGTCCTGAACATTTACATGCAACATTACAGCAGACACGATCTGCCACAGCACTCTGCAGAGAGGAACAAAATAGAATGTGAAACAAAAATATAACATCTGAAATTATTGGAATGATTTTAAAACAGAAATTTATGTTTTACACCTATAATCAGAGGCGGTTAGTCCTCTGGTACAGAAGAGGTTTGTACAGAGTAGAAAGTACACCAGTGACAGCACCAGACTGACCCTCTGAATCCATTTGTCCTCCAGCTGGACAATGTCAGTGTTGGTGAAAGAGGAGCTTGTCTATCTAAACCCTCGAAGAAGGTCCAAGATCAAAGCAGCTGTAATGGATCTTTGTTGGCTGGGTGTCTGGGTTCAACCCAAGCCCCCGTAATTTGGGTCTGGGTATGAAGCAAAACAAGAAGTGACAAAAATTGCACTTCCACCCTCATCTGCTGGGGGCTGGTATCAGAAGCAAGCAAATCCTCATTGACTCCCATGTTAAAAATACCAATTTCACAGCAGAAATAAACATTTTTACAGCCTGTTACCAAAACATGTTTTTTGTTTAAATGATCTAGTTTACACTCATGACAACTCTGAGGGGGGTGAAATTTTTGTCACTCTTCTGTCTAAGTGTATTAAATGCCTAAAAATCTAAATAATGAATGACCCATGTGACCACAGAGCTAGCTTCGGGCAAGGCCTCAGCCTGAGCCTCGGCCTCGCCTTAAAACTGTTCCGCCATTTCCAGTCTCTCAACTTAGACCATTAGTTGTAGCATTTGTGTATTCTTTTTTGGATATTATTTGTGCAATTGCTGGACAAAATTACTTGCTGTGGTATTAATTGCACTAATTATGTGCGTCCAAGGAGTCTCCACTTAATTTTTTTTCGGTAAGTAAAATTATATTTATGTTGATGATTTTAGGTCACGGCCGCTCTTGCACTAGCTGAGTTTAGATTTTAACATGTACTGTTTAACTATGAAATTTAAATTTAAAAGGGTAAACCCCAGTGCATTTAACATAATGCCGCATATTTGAAATTGAGTTGAAATATAACATGTTGGTGGAGCTGGGTTCCAACTATCGGTATGGTCCCCTCCCTTCAGCGGCAGCCCGGCGCATCTCTGACTCAGAAGCTCCGGTGTTGTGCACAGTTAACTCCGGTCGTAGCTAGGTAGCTACCTCTGTTAGCTCAGATCCCACCTCCACGTTAGCTTTGGGTTAGCTTGTAGCTACATCGCTTCAATTCGACGGGTTTCGTCATTTGATCCCAGCCTTATAGCCCCACCCTCAGCTCCATCGCCTTTCCCTTTTATGGAATTGTCTGGGCTTGACGGAATCTGTGACACGGTCAAAATGGCGGTGGCCACCTCCCATTTTGGCACAAAAACTTATAATTGAAGCCTATGGAAACAATTCGTCCAGTATACATGTCGATGGATTAACCTTACAAACTCTGTCTTCCAGAAGAGCCCTGAGTAAAACTGTTACTCCTCTTTGCCCATTGATAGGCACCAGCGCCCCCCCCCCCCCCCCCTCCCACCCACCCCCCGAAGAGGAAACTTGGGTCCCACTTCCCATGGGTTCACCACTTGTGGGAGGGGTGAAAGGGGTCAGGGGAAATATGTGAGGGGGGTGGCAGACGGCTGGGACCTTGGTGGTCTCACCCTCGGCTACAGAAGCTGGCTCTTGGTATGTGGAATGTCACCTCTCTGGTGGGAAAGGAGCCTGAGGTGGTGTGCGAGGTTGAGAGGTTCCAACTAGATATAGATGGACTCACCTCGACGCATGGCTCTGGCTCCAGAACCAGTTTCCTTGAGAGGAGCTGGCCACTCTGCAACTCTGGAGTTGCCCTGACTGAGAGGCGCCAAGAAGGGGTGGCCATACTAGTTACCTCCCATCTTGGTGCTTGTACGTTGGCATTTACCCCGGTTAATGAGAGGGTAGCCTCCCGCCGCCTACGTGTGGGGGGGACGGATCCTGACTGTTGTCTGTGTTTAGGCACCAAACTACAGTTCAGACCTTATGGTGACTCCCTCGTCCTGCTCTCACCTATGGTCACGAGCTTTGGGTAGAGACCGAAAGAATGAGATTGTGGACACAAACGGCCAAAATGCGTTTTCTCCTCAGGGTGGCTGGGCTTTCCCTTAGAAATAGGGTGAGAAGCATGGTCATCTGGGAGGGGCTCGGAGTAGACCCGCTGCTCCTCCACATTGAGAAGAGCCAGTTCAGGTAGCTCAAGCATCTGGTTAGGATGCCTCGTGATGCCTCCCTGGTGAGGTTTTTTTGGGTGTCCAACTGGGAGAAGGCTTAAAGGACACACTGGAGAGACTATGTCTCATGGCTGGCCAGGGAACAACTTAGGATTCCTCTGGAGGAGCTGGCCCAAGTGGCTGGGGAGAGGGAGGTCTGGGCCTCCCGGCTTAGGCTACTGCTCCCACGACCCGACACCGGATAAACGGCCAACAATGGATGGATGGATGGATGGATGGATGGATGGATGGATGAACAATTCTATCCTCAGCAGACATTCAACACGAACGTAAGTGGAAAGAGCATGGACAGGATGATTGTTACCATGGTGATGCTAATTAACATTAGTTGTGAAGAAGCAAAGTAGTTTGATGAGCAGCTGAATGAACCACTGCTTTAGCTACTCACAACTCAAACTGAAATAACCTGGCTTGTTTCCTATAGTTAGCAGATTTTAAAGGCTTCCTCCATCTCAGCAAAAGCTCACATAATGAACAACTAGTTCAGCATTCAAAGTGATTCAAAAGGATTCAACAATCAAGCTGTGAAGTTACTCACAATCTGCTGAAGGAGGATGCCTTTGATGCTCGGAGTGTGGATAGTAAGAGGAAGCTGGTAGTTGGATCCTCGGCCGAACTCGACCATCTGAAGCTGGGAGGGTTCAGCACCATTTAGTGCCACAGTCAACAGAGCACTGACCCCTGATAACAAAAAGAGGAGCTCACATCATCCATCTAACAGCTGACGGTGTCCATGTTGCTCCAGGGACTTTGTTCAAAGAAAGGGATGTGCTCTGCGCTCAACACCTTTAGTCAATTCACCTTTTGAGTTCAGTTTATTTAGAGCTTTCCATACACCCCCACACAATTTATGATTTAAATCTGCACACTCCTCTTGTTGAGACATTGGTTAGGTGTTAGGTCCCTTCTAGTGGACCTAAATAAGTCTGAATCAGCTCTAAAACACACTGATGATATCTCTGAACCCACCCAGTCAGACCTACAGCTGGATACAAACTAGGGATGCTTGAAATAGGCTTTTTTAAGCCAATATCCGATATGATCTAACTCTTAATTTATGATACAGACGTAAACCTATACTGATATGTCCCCCAATAAAAAAGTAAATCTTTAGGTTACTAACATCACATCTATCACGCATCACAATGCTTTAAACATTATCTGTGCAAACTGACAACTACTTCAGTTTAAATGTCATGTTTAATTTGTCCAAAGATCCTTATTAAGTTCATGATGGGAAATAGTTTGATTGATAAGTTAATAAACAGTACAAGTGAATTCATGTCATAAAGATTTAAATGTTTTCGGTTTAGAAAACGGATCAAAGTGAGTGCTTTAACAATCATTGTTATACAGGTGCTGGCCAGTAAATTAGAATATCATCAAAAGGTTGAAAATATTTCAGTAATTCCATTCAAAACGTGAAACTTGTACATTATATTCATGCAATGCACACAGACCAATGTATTTCCAATGTTCATTACATTTAAATTTGATATTTATAGGTGACAACCAATGAAAACATCAAATCTGGTATCTCAGAAAATTAGAATATTCTAAAGGCCAATGAAAAAATGTTTGTTTCTCTAATGTTGGCCAACTGAAAAGAATGAACATGAAAAGAATGTGCATGTATAGCACTCAATACTTAGTCGGGGCTCCTTTTGCCTCAATAACTGCAGTAATGCGGCGTGGCATGGACTCGATCAGTCTGTGGCACTGCTCAGGTGTTATGAGAGCCCAGGTTGCTCTGATAGTCGTCTTCAGCTCCTCTGCATTGTTGGGTCTAGCGTATTGCATCCTCCGCTTCACAATACCCCATAGATTTTCTATGGGGTTAAGGTCAGGCGAGTTTGCTGGCCAATCAAGGACAGGGATACCATGGTCCTTGAACCAGGTGCTGGTGGTTTTGGCACTGTGTGCAGGTGCCAAGTCCTGTTGAAAGGTGAAGTCTGCATCCCCATAAAGTTGGTCAGCAGCAGGAAGCATGAAGTGCTCTAAAACTTCCTGGTAGACGGCTGCATTGACCCTGGACCTCAGGAAACAGAGTGGGCCAACACCGGCAGATGACATGGCACCCCACACCATCACTGACGGTGGAAACTTTACACTGGACCTCATGCAACGTGGATTCTGTGCTTCTCCGCTCTTCCTCCAGACTCTGGGTCCTTGATTTCCAAAGGAAATGCAGAACTTGCTTTCATCAGAAAACATAACTTTGGACCACTCAGCATCAGTCCAGTCCTTTTTGTCCTTGGCCCAGGCGAGACGCTTCTTGCGCTGTTTCTTGTTCAAGAGTGGCTTGACACACGGAATGCGACACCTGAATCCCATGTCTTTCATGAGTCTCCTCGTGGTGGTTCTTGAAGCGCTGACTCCAGCTGCAGTCCACTCTTTGTGGATCTCCCCCACATTTTTGAATGGGTTTGTCGTCACAATTCTCTGCAGGGTGCGGTTATCCCTAGAGCTTGTACACTTTTTTCTACCACATTTTTTCCGTCCCTTCGCCTGTCTGTTAATGTGCTTGGACACAGAGCTCTGCGAACAGCCAGCTTCTTTAGCAATCACCTTTTGTGTCTTGCCCTCCTTGTGCAAGGTGTCAATGATTGTCTTTTGGACAGCTGTTAAGTCAGAAGTCTTCCCCATGATTGTGGTGCCTTCAAAACAAGACTGAGGGACCTTTTAAAGGCCTTTGCAGGTGTTTTGAGTAAATCAGCTGATTAGAGTGGCAGCAGGTGTCTTCTATATTCAGCCTTTTCAGAATATTCTAATTTTTTGAGATACCAAATTTGGAGTTTTCATTAGTTGTCACTTATGAATATCAAATTTAAATGTAATGAACATTGGAAATACATTGGTCTGTGTGCATTGCATGAATATAATGTACAAGTTTCACGTTTTGAATGGAATTACTGAAATATTTTCAACCTTTTGATGATATTCTAATTTACTGGCCAGCACCTGTATAGTCTGTGCAAAACACGACAGAGTGAGTGCTCTCTACTTATTCTCAGACCTAATACTGACAAAGTTTCTGTTTCCTTCCTTCCCAGCGTTTACATGGAAGCAGAAACAAGAGAGTAAACTTCACACGGTCAAGGTCATTTTGATTTGGACCTGCGTGCCTTGGAGAACATTTGAGAACAGTGCACACATGCTAAACTAGGATAATTGCAAAGCATGATGTTAAGATGTGTGCATGTTAGTCAGTAATGTATTTTTTCTACGGTGGTAAATCATTAATAAAGATCTTCAGTTAACAAAAGCAAGCTTTGGGTGAACATTTTAGTGTTTTAGCGGTTTGCTAGCTGGCTAGCTACGTGTGCTACAATGTCACAGCAGTTCTCTACACAGAGCAAACTCACAGTTATTCACAAGTTAAGCAAATAAAAATAAAATATCTCTAAAATTAAACATCAGATCTGTCATATTTGACATTTTGAGAGGGAGAGGAGATGAAACTGAAGAGTATATAAAACATTATGAAATGTTAGGTCATTAAAGAAGTAAAAACTGATATGATATATTTTCCGATTTCACATTTTAATGTCAAAATTGGCCGATAATATCGGTAGAATGATATTATCACACATCCCTAATATAAACTCATCCACAACATCCACAAGACTCCCTCGTTTGGAGCCAACGATAGAAAAACATCACTGAACTAACAAACACATTTTCAGGAAATTAGCTGTAATAACCTCTCTTTTACTTTACGTCATGCCCCTTTAACCCTTTAAAATGAACTGAATTCCATGTGGAGGGGGAGAGACAGCAAACAGAAGCTGAGGATGTTTCTCAAAGTCATGGAGCCTGCCTTGATGCCTTGGTCCTGCCCCAGTTGTCTAGTAGGAGGTGCGTCATCAGGAACTGCCAAGGCGTGTTCCAATGTACATGTGCTACCGAGGCATCTGTCCTCCGTTTGTTAGCCGTTCAGCTAACTGACCAAGGATACATTGGAGGTGTCTTGTTGCCTTATCTTCTTCAAAATTTCCCAGAATACAGTGCAGTATTTTCAAAAGAATTGCGTATCTGAAGCCGGCATCGGCTACTTCGGGGGCAAACTTCCAGTTTAAATGTAAGTCAACTAATTGTAGCTATTGGGCTGATGTCTAAAATGTTTTTTAGATCCACAGCAGCCGGTACTAACCAGTATTAACTCGCTTACATATTTAATATAAGCCACAATCATGTCAATTAAACGTCTTCTTTGGCCAAGAAAGAACAGTGTCCTTGTAGACCAGCCTTGACATTGAGAAACAAAAACAACAGATGAAATTGGAAATCAGGGTCAGTTTTACCAGACTCTCTTAGCTGCTCAGATCCCTGCCTTAGTTTCATCACATCTTCATCAAGTCCATCTGAGAAGATCACCAGCACCTGGTGGGAGAGTTGTTCACATTTAGGATCATCTATTATCTATTGATTTTACAAGGTCAAAACAATTTTCACAGTGTGCTGCAAATCTAATAGCCCCACAGGAAAAGTTCAATACTTTTACTATTGGGAGAAAAGACTCACTGATATTTTCTCACAGATTATTATTATTTATGTTTAACAGTCACTGGAAGAACTCAAAGATATCCATCCACAAGGTATTTTTTCTACGTCAGAATCAAGTCATAAGTCCAAGTCTCAGACTCGAGACTCCATCTCTGGTACAACTGAGCAAACAGCCTCCATGCAGCATTGAGAGCCGAGCAGCATTTCCCACATTCATCAGGTCATTTCATGACAGAAGAATGAGACCACGACCTCACCTTTACTTGAGCTGTGGACTTGTCTCTGAACCAGTCTCCGAAGTAGTTCAATTGAGCTAAATTGAATAAAGTGGGCTGTGACCATGAAATGTTCAAGAATTTGTTCACTACTTGTTCACTGTAAGCCTCAAACTTGTTGTCATACAGAGCGTGTCCATTGATGTCCACCACGCTGAAGGAAATGTTAGTGTGGAGCGGACTGGTGCAGCAGAGGTCCTCCACCATAGAAATAGACTGGGCGATCTCCTTGAGATGTCTAACGTAACTGTTAAGGGTCACACCGGGACCTCCTCTTGTGGAAATATCAAATCCTATGGCGATATCAATGCTGCAAACTGAAGGAAGGGAAAAATATCTTACTCATGAAAAGATCTAATCGGAGGAAGAAAACCAGGCAGAATGGTAGCGCTGTTCTTCTGTACTTACCAGAGGGCTCAGTAGAAGGCTCTGGGCAGATGGCTTCAACAACCTTTTTCTTAATGTTGGCCAAGCTGTCAAAGTTCACCACAGTAAAAAGTTTTCTTGGGTCTCCAGTGATCTGAAGGAGCTGCAGGTCATAGACATCTCCAATGGCAACAGCTAGTATTTGAATGCCCATGTCCCTGAGCTCATTAGCTGCATCCTCCACGTCATCTTGAGAGTTTCCATCTGTGATCAGCACCAGCGTTTTGGGGGTGTTGATGCGGCTGCCCCGTGATGTTTGAAAGTACTCCTTGATAAACACCAAGGCCTTGCTGATGTAGGTGTTTCCACCCTCATACGTCAACTTCATTACGTGATCAACCACAGCTTTGTTGCTGCTGTACTCATTGAGATAAAACTCGTGTTTAGGGGAATTACTAAACGCTGCAAGTCCAACTCGGAATTCATTCTCACTGACGTTGAAGCTGTTCACTACGTCGGTCGTGAAGTTTTTGATGGTATTGTAATTATCTGAGCTGATGCTGCCGGAATTATCAAGCAGAAAAACCAGGTCTGCCTTTTCACAAGCTGCCAATAAAACACAACAAGGCAATGTCAACAGAGTAAACAACTGTAGCGTCACTGAAGCATTGATTCTAAGCTAAAGCTGCCGACTGTGGTTGTTGAATTTTTGTTTGTTTTCAGATAATTTATTAATAAACAATGGAACCAATTTACTTATATTGAAACAGCTCCAGTAGGAAAAATAATTGCTGCAACCAACCATTAGCCACTATGCTAACATGTGCTAGTAGTGCTTACATCTTTGTACATCCTATTTGAATTTGCCACCTTTTACTACCACGCAGAAACCCTGGTCTCGCCACAGCAGCTTAATAAGTCACTGAGGAGTGAACAGATTCACCAAGAAAACACGTTTTTACTTGCTTTATAATAATAATAATTATTACTATCATTATAAAAACACTTAAGCAGTCGTATTCAGTGTGTGCCACAGCTAAAGCGGCCCGGATGGAAACATGTTCTCTCTTCTTAATCTTTCTGTTAGATAGAATGTGACAATTCTATGATGTACCACTCCTACGTAAAACAAAGATGAAAGTAAGGAGACCTTAAATTGCTTTTCAGATCTAAGAAAGCTTCAGGCAGAGTGATTGACTTCCTGGTGAATAATAACATGTGCTAATGCGACAGATCCATTCTTACCTGGTTTAGTGGTTTGGCAGATGACATCTGACATGTTCTTGTACAGAGTCTCTAATTCTTTGAAATCCTTCACAAAGAAAACTTTGGATTGGTCCCCTCCAGCCATGGTGTCCAGCTGCTCCTTTATGGCCCCCTCTACTCCAATACTGATGACATTGATGTTATTTGCTCGCAGGGCATCAGATGAGGCTTTCAGACCGTAATAGTCTTGGGCATCACCGTCTGTGATGACCATAATGATCTGAGGAATCTTCAGTTTTCGTCGTCCACCATGTTCATCGTTAAAGAACTCTAACGAGTACTTCAAAGCCTTGCTTGTGTACGTGTTTTTGAGCGGTGGCACCAAACCATTTATAGCTTTAAGAACTTCTGCTCTGGAGTTGTAGGCATTCAGACGAAACTGGATTTCTGCAGTGTCAGAGTAGAGTATGACCCCAAACCGGGTCAGCTCCTGACCAACTGTGGTCTGGTTCACTACAGAGTACATAAACGTCTGCATACTTTTGAATTCTTGATCATCTATGCTTCCAGAACCATCGACCAGGAAAATGATATCAGCTTTTTCGACCTTCTTACAATCTGGTAAACACAGCAACAGAAGATCAAATCAGCTCTCACGCAAAAAGATAAATGTTACTAAAACCATACTGGCCCTTGTCAATTGTAGCTCCTCCAGTAGAGGGCAGCAGACATGTATAAGACTAGATACAGCAGGTTTCTGAAGAAGGTACTAATACTGATGCTCCATCTGGATGATTTAAAGCTGCTATAGCAAATCTAGAGAACAAGCTAGGTTTTAAATGCAAACACCGTCATGGAAAACTAACCCCTCCCCTCGGGTGTCTTCCCTGAGATGCTTCTGCTAGAACCAGAAACCCACATTGCCAGGGGAAACAAGAGAGCACTAAACACCAGTAGTTTGCCCCACATTTGAAGTCATAGCAACCGGCTATTTCTCCTCTGATATTATTGAGCGAAATTCCTTTAATACCAGTGGTGTTCTGTTGCTAAATACGCGCATGCATAGTAAATGGAGAACCCAAAGAAGTGTGGCAATTCAGCTAGGTAATCAACCGTATGGTCAAATAGTTGCTTTCAGTCCAAACCTTGTTATTGGCAAAGGTTTTTAGACAAATGTGAGAGAACCACTTTATTCGGGGGTTTTTTCTCGTTTTTTTTAATTATCTCCACAATATACAGTATTTATAGCTATACTATGTTAGAATGTTGTTTGGATGCTTGAAAAAACTGTTTTAACCTATTTTGTTTTCTAAATTTTCTACAGCAGCTTTTAGGCCAGAAGGGGTTTGGTGTGAATCAGAGATGACTGTCTACAATGAGTTAAACTAAATGATCTAATCTTTTCACATTCTTTCAGACTTTTAGTCTTAATAAATTAACAATGATCTTACCTCTTTGAGGATCACAGAACTTTAAGGCCAGAACACTCTCTAGTTCATTTAGTGCATCAGTGCTTTCTTGGTTAAAAACTGTGTCAGATGAACCACTGATTTGCTGAAGCTGGGAAAGGTTGGCATCCATCAGTCCGATGGAGTAGATAACCACTCCTTTGGCCCTGAGAGCTTCAGCAGGACCTCTGACCTCATCTTTAGCCTTACTGTAGGTTATCACCACCAGGTTCTGCCTCAGACTGGGACGCCCTCCATTGGATTCATCAAAATAATTTGAAACCTCTGTGATAGCTTTTCCTGTGTGAGTGTCTAGCTTCATCTGCTTCATGTCATCAATAGCTCTCAGGATTTCTTCTTTACTGTAAGAGTTGCTGAGAGGAAACTCCAAATGATGTTTGGTGCTAAACTGCATCACACCAACATGCACCTCATTTGGCCCGATCATGGACTTGCTTATGACAGATTTCATGAATTCTTTCGTTTTCTTGAAGTCCATCTCCGAGATTCTCTCTGAGCTTTCAGTCAGGAAGATTATGTCACTGGGAACGTCTTTACAAACTGTGGACAGAAAACAGAAATGTCAGCATGACGAGTGTAGCTCAGCAGGATCAAATGATAGGATTAGAGAGGTTCAAATCAAGTCATGTAGCTGACAAAATCCTTTACACTTAAGCATCTGGTATCTCGTGGAATCCCAAATGCTCCAGAGAGCTGACAAAAACCAGAGCTTCATCCCTCATTAACAAGACCTTAGTGGGTAGGACATTCCCTCAGGTCCACCAAGGTCAAGGTTTGGTTTCAGACCATGAGACTGTGAAGAGCTCCTCCATTAATCCATCCATCCATCCATCCATCCATCCATCCATCTATCATCTATTCATCCATCCACCATCCATCAATCAAACCTCTATTCATTCATCCATCCATCCATCAAACCTCTATTCATCCATTAATCCGTCAAATCTACATTCATCCATCCATCCATCTAACCTCTATTTATCCATCCATCAGTTAAACCTATATTCATCCATCCATCCATCAATCAAACTTATATTCATCCATGCATCCATCAAACCTATATTCATCCATCAATCCATCAAACCTCTATTCATCCATCCATCCATCCATCCATCCATCCATCAGTCTATCCACCAACCATCAAAACTCTATTCATCCATCAATCCATCAAACCTCTATTCATCCATCCATCCATCCATCCATCAGTCTATCCACCAACCATCAAAACTCTATTCATCCATCAATCCACCCATTCATCCATCCATCCATCCATCCATCCATCCATCCTCATCTATCAATCAAACCTCTTTTCATTCATCCATCTGTCCATCCATTCATCCATCAAACCTCTATTCATCCATTTATACATCAAACCTATATTCATCCATCCATCCATATATCAAACCTCTATTCATCCACCCATTCATCAAACCTCCATCCACCCAACCATCAAACATCTATTCACCCATCCATCCATCCATTCATCCATCCATCCATCCATCCATCAAACATCTATTCACCCATCCATCCATCCATTCATCCATCAAACATCTATTCACCCATCCATCCATCCATTCATCCATCAAACATTTATTCACCCATCCATCCATCAAACATCTATTCACCCATCCATCATTCATCCATCCATCCATCCATCAAACATCTATTCACCCATCCATCCATTCATCCATCAAACATCTATTCACCCATCCATCCATCCATCCATTCATCCATCAAACATCTATTCACCCATCCATCCATCCATCCATCCATCCATCCATTCATCCATTCATCCATCAAACATCTATTCACCCATCCATCCATCCATTCATCCATCCATCCATCCATCCATCCATCCATCCATTCATCCATCCATTCATCCATCAAACATCTATTCACCCATCCATCCATCCATCCATCCATCCATTCATCCATCAAACATCTATTCACCCATCCATCCATCCATCCATCCATCCATTCATCCATCAAACATCTATTCACCCATCCATCCATTCATCCATCAAACATCTATTCACCCATCCATCCATTCATCCATCAAACATCTATTCACCCATCCATCCATCCATCAAACATCTATTCACCCATCCATCCATCCATCCATTCATCCATCAAACATCTATTCACCCATCCATCCATCCATTCATCCATCAAACATCTATTCACCCATCCATCCATTCATCCATCAAACATCTATTCACCCATCCATCCATTCATCCATCAAACATCTATTCACCCATCCATCCATCCATCAAACATCTATTCACCCATCCATCCATCCATCCATTCATCCATCAAACATCTATTCACCCATCCATCCATCCATTCATCCATCAAACATCTATTCACCCATCCATCCATCCATCCATTCATCCATCAAACATCTATTCACCCATCCATCCATCCATCCATCCATTCATCCATCAAACATCCATTCACCCATCCATCCATCCATCCATCCATCCATCCTCTATCCATTCATCCATCCATCAAACCTCTATTCATCCATCCATCAAACCTATAATATTCCATCCATCCGTCAAACCTCTATTCATCCATCCATCCATCCATCCATCCTTCCATCCATCCACCCAACCATAAAACATCTATTCATCTATCCATCCATCTATTCATCAATCAAACCTATATTCCTCCCTCCATCCATCAATATTTTTACTACAATTTTGATGCTCTGAATTAAAGAAATCACCAAATATAAATGTTTCTGTGAGCTATGAATAAAAAAGTGACCGAGAATGATAGGTCAGTGGTGAGTGATGCTAACTGACCAATCAGAAACAGTCCGTGCTGTGAGTCATATCCAAAATGAATGACCTCCAGATAAAGAAGTGAGTCAAACACCTCCCTATGCTTTGTTAATCTCTCTTTTTGGGGGGAAACTGTAAGAAAGTTCCTGGACTCTGATGGAGCTTTTCTACTCTGTCCAAATTTGAATCCCTGATTTTACAAAACAGCAAATTTGTCATTATAATAGAAACACTACAGAGTTTCATGTAGTTTCTCACCCTCAGGAGCGCAGATTTCTCTTATGACATCATCACTGATGAACTTAAGGGCATCAAAGTTACTGACAGAGAATGTCCTCTTGGAGTTCCCAGATATCTCATTCAGTTGAGTTGCGTTTGCTTCCTTGATCCCAATGGCGAACACAGAGATGCCCTTATTTCTAAGATTTTCAGCTGGATCTTTGACTTCATCTGAGGACTCTCCATCTGTGATGACGATCAAATACTGTTGGACCTGACGAGAAGCCGCTGCTCTCTCAAAATAAGATCCCATGAAGGACAGCGCCAACCCAGATTTGGTTCCACCTCCTTCATGGAAAATGCTCTCCACAGCTTTCTCTATCTCCAAAGCTGATGAGTACACACCCAGGTCAAACTCTTCAGTGGGTTCATCTGAGTATTTCACCAGCCCCAGGCGAACATGATGTGGCCCAATACGGAAGGTTTTCAGAAACTCGATAACAAACTTCTTCATATCTGTGAAGTCTTCCTGCTCGATGCTTCCTGAGTCATCGATGAGGAAGAAGATATCTGCTTCATCTTTTTGTTCACATGCTGTAAGAAAAAACAGACCAACTGCTTATGGAACCTGACCAGAGATCTAGTTTGAACCAAAACATCTGCTTTTGTGCGTAAGTTAACCCAAACGACTAAAAACAGTATAATCACAGTAACTATATGGTCATGCAACCAAAGAGCAGGACAGACCTTGTTTGGCGTCCTGCGTGATTTCAGAGTTACGGATTGCACTGTTTGTGATAGAACTGCACAGGCTTTCCTGCAGGGTTTCCGTCAGAGGTTTCAGCTGAGCGAAGCTGTCCACGGTGAACACGTGTCTGGAGGTGGGGTGAGACGCCATGTCATGCAGATCATCTGTGTTAGCAACTTGGATTCCTACAGCAAAAACTTTGACCGAAGCTCTCCGGAGACCAATGGCCTCTGCGCTCACATTGTTGTGTGACCCATTATCTGTGATCACTATGGCTACCTTCTGGACCCCCTTTCTGCTGCCCTTCTCCTCAATGAAAACAGACTCCAGAGTAAATTTTAGGGCGGCTCCAGTGTTGGTCCCACCTCCTCTGCGAGGCAGAGTTGTGATGAACTGCAGAACTTCTGCCTTGTCCTGGAAAGTGTTGAGGTAGGCCTGAGCTGTAGGGTAGTCACTGTAGGTAACAATGCCCACGCGAACTCGTTTTGGATTGACGTCAAGGCTGCTGATCATTGAGTAAAGGAAATGACGCATCAGATGGAAGTTGTTTGGTGTGATGCTCCTCGAATCATCAACAATGAATACAATGTCGGCCATGTTGGCTCCTTTGCAGTCTACGAAAAACAAAGACAGAAAATTTCATCCATCTGCTTCTTTTTCATGTAAAAAAAACAGAAATAGTAGAGTGTAGAAAAGTCTGCCATGACCAGGTAAACATGAGAGTCTAGATCAGAACTGTCAGATCCTAGTCATGGAGGGCCACTACCCTGCATAGTTTAGCTTCTCCAACACAAGTCAGATGTCGGTGGAGAACATGAAGGTGGTGGTCCTCTAGAACCAGGATTGAACAGCCTGGTCCTGATGCTGATACCTAGTTTTTGATTGCTTATAAAAACCTTTTCATCCTATTTTCTATATTCTGTGACAGATGGTTCTTACCTTCAGAAATCGTTTCTACTTTTGTGGTGGTGAAGGTATTCTTCATCTGAGTACTGTTGAGAAAAAAGTCAAAAGCAAATCCTGGACTAGCGAACCAGTCTAGTGATTCCAGTGACACACTGGTGCTCATCCCAACAACTACTACTCCAGTCTTTTTAAGAGATCTAGAGGGCCAAAACACAGAAAAGCCTGGGTCTTTTCCAGTCACAACAACCAAGAACTGTTGAGCTCCTTCGTGTGCTCGGCCACCTTTGTCAAGGCTGAAAAAGTCACGAGCAGCAAGACGGAGAGCACCTTCCAGGTTTTGTAGCTGGTTGGGTTGTGGTTGCAGCTTAAAGTTTTTCACTGATTTGAGGGTTTGTGCTTTGGTTTTATGAGTGTTCAAGTGGAATTCGACCTTGACGCTTTCACCGTACTGGGCTAAACCAACCCGGTAGCCGGTCAGTTTAACGTTGGTCTGATCGATCAGTTTCACAAGCTCGTTCTTGAACTGATTAAACTGACGTGGAGGAAGTCCGCTGTCCACCAAGAAAAATATATCTGCAAACCTGTCGGCCAACGCTGGAAGAAATCAGAAAGACAGAAAATGTACTTTATTACATTAATCAACTCTTGGGGAGAGGATCAGTCCAATGCAAACATCTGTTCAGGCCAATCTACAAAGCAAATTGTAAAATTATAACAAATCTGAAGTTTCAATTGTCCCAATGGGTAATGTGACTGTGTGACTGGTTGTTTTTGTGTCTAAAGGATGTAAATGGTGAGTTTTGCAGAATATGTCCCGTTTGAATTAACTAGATGAAATTATTCAATAAAAATGTTAAAATGCTGCTAGAGCCAGGTACCCTTTAGAGTCACAAATGAGACTCAAAGCAAGAATGTGTTTCGTCTTTGCTTTAGTAAACATCCCACCAAAGAGGCATTTATGGCCCATAGGAAAGAAGAGTTACTTGTTATAAACGTCTATAAACTGGCTCAGGTTTGGATGGCTGATGCCTGATAGAGCTCTGGCGCCTCATCAGCTTTTATGCTCACTAAATGAGGTCTGAAATTAGCATAAGCAGATTTCTACACAAACTTTGTGGATAATGGAATAAAGATGTGACAAGAACACGTGCACACTGGCCCTGGTGTGAGCACATGGTGGAGACATGGAAACTGGCAGCGCAGTTGGGGGATGGCAAGGTGGCCACATTTACAGACTTGTAGGCACGCACGCACGCACGCACACACACACACACACACACACACACACACACACACACACACATGCATGCATGCACACACATGTCTGTTTTTCTATCATAGTGAGGACCCTCCATTGACTTCCACTCATTTTTGTGATTATATCTAACCCGTTCCCTAACCCTAACCAATGCTGATCTATTCCTAACCCTGACCTTAAGCTTTTAAAAATAGTGAGGACAAAAAGAATGTTCTTACTTTTAAAGATTTCCTCACATTGCAGGGAAAATAGTGAAACAGGATCACACACACACACACACACACACACACACACACACACACACACACACACGCACGCACGCACACACACACACACACACACACACACAACTCAGCCCCCACCCTGTATCTGAAGTGAGAACAAAAACTATATTACATTTAAGAGTTGTATCACAATACACTAAAAATAAACAATTCAGAGGGTTAGTAAATATCATTAATAATATAAGTTGGATGACCTTGATAAAGTCTCTGAATATCATAAGTAAATATTTCTGTTGTATCGACTGGAATAAATATGTAAAAATGAAACGTAATTATGGATTTACATTTATTTCTATTTTAGTATTTACATTTACTTCAGTTTTTGGTTCACAGTATAGTTTTGTACATACAGTATACTTAATATTTTATGTACCAAATATTTTAATCAGAATATTTTAATATTAGTTGAGGAGAGCTGCAACTTCCTGAGGCAACTGTAAATGACCAGTGGAAGGCAGGCTAGATTCAGAAGAAATGCATCAATAATCAAGCTGAGGTGTCAAAGTGTGATTTACTGTCTAAAGTGCTCTTTTGGAAAGAATGAGCTTGATTTTATATCACTCTAATTATAGATTACATGAAATGTTTTGATGGCTTTACCTTTCCTCTGCTCCTCCAGGGAGAAGCACACGGTTTCCAGTAGCTGGTCAGTCAGACTCTGCAGCTCCTGGAAGCTGGCAGTGGTTCTGGTGTACTGACTTGGAGGCCAGTTAGCAATTCTCTCCAGCTGCTTCTGATTGTAGTCTTCCACCCCAACAGCGAACACGACAACCCCGTGCCGTCGGAGCTCAATAGCAGGTTTGTCCACATCATCAAAGGACTGCCCGTCCGTGATGACCACGGCAATCTGAGGCACCCGTTGTTTGGCTCTGCTCCCCGCCTCTTCGGTGAAGTAACGCTCTCGAATGAAATCGATCGCCTTACCTGTCTCTGTGCCGCCTTTCTGTTGGGAAAACTGCTCTATTGCAGCCAACAGAGATTTCTTGTCTACATGCTCCTTCAGCAGGAATTCCTGGTGTGGGTCATCGCTGTACTGAGCTAAGCCGACGCGAACTTTCTTGGAACCGATGTCGAGGTTCTTGGTGATGTTGTAGAGAAATGAACGGACTTCCTGGAAGCTCTGAGGGGTGATGCTGGTGGAGCTATCAACCAGGAAGACGATGTCGCCCACTGTGGCCTTTTCACATTCTGGACAAAAAAAAAAAAAGTCAGTCTGAACATTGTTCTAGATCAATATTGTGTGTCCCACAAGGAGCCGTGTTTGTCCACATTGTTCTAACTTTTTTATTGCTCCAACTGAAACACTCAAGATGTTTGCAGATGACACAGCAACCCACATCCATGGCAACCATGGTAACTGATGCACTAACCCACTTCATGGTTCTTTCACGTAACAGAGTTTTTCAATTGGTGCTGGTTGCACATTCATTTGTCTGAAACATTCTGTAAGTGTGTGAATGTGCGTGTGTGAATGACTGGTTAGTTGTAAAGTGCTTTGAGGGATTGTAGAATCATCATTAATATCGATACGTACTAAAACGTATCTGTATCTTCATTCTGTGTGTTGATTTATGATTATCTTCTTTTTTCTTATTTAACACAGTGAAGTAATTAGATGTTTATTTACCTTCGGCCAAAAAAAACCCCATAAAATTAAGCTAATTCACTGTGTTAATAAGAAAAAAGAAGATAATTATGATATGTACTAATATTTCATACTAATGCTGCTGAACTTTTTATTGGAACATCTTTACAATTTGATTGTAATTTTTCTTCTCCATAAAAGCTTTAAAAAGGCACAGGTATGCTCTACCAGGTGGTTGCCTTCTAGGGTTCAAATGAACCAATAAATTAAACTAGAACTAGTCACCCTATCCAGATTAGAAGTGAAACGATTAAAACTTTCTAAAGGGCAAATCAACCAACAGAACATCCAAAAATCTAAGCTTTACTTGTTTTATTCTAGATGTGGAAGTTTGGATAAATGATGTTGGGGATGTTTATGCAGCTGGCTCTGGTCCACCTGGAGGTTTAGTGATTAATTTAATTTAATTTAATTTAATTATTTTATTTCATTTTATTTTATTTTATTTTATTTTATTTTATTTTATTTTTTAAAAGTTTTTGTTGCACTTGAACAGCTCGAATCTCAGAAGGTCGTGTTTGGTTACTCACCTGATTTCTGGGCAGAAACGAAGAAGAAACAAACTGTGGAGGTGAGGATGAGGAAGCTTGATCTTCTTCTCATGTTGGTGATTCAGTTTCTGCATGAAACACCAGAAGGTTGGATCTTCATGAACTGCAGAAGATCTGCTGCTGGTCGGGGAACTGGGTTGTTTTACTGGTGCTAAAGGGAATAAAAGAGACAAAATCCATCAGGTTATTTATCATTACAGCCAAATCTTCTGTGTCTGTTACTGTTACTCTCTTTTATCTCTTCAGTTAACATCTGAGCAGAGGTGTTGGAGTCTATCTTACTTGTTGAGCTGCTCAGTTTTGACAAACAGATATTTTTTCCTGATCTAAATTCTGAGCTAATAGCTAGTCTGAACTGGTCCTTATTAAAAACAACTTAAAATCCAATGATCGTTCGACCACCATGACCCTCACACGATCCGGTAGTTTACAGAGAACATGTGTGGAGCTTCTTCAGCACTTCTGTGAGTTTATGGCAACAACAAAGCAACAGAACACTCGAGTTAGAACATGGTGCAAAAGGTAATTTTTTGCTGTAATTAAACATAAAAGGTGAAACTAATATATGAGACTCATTACATGCAAAACCAGATATTTAAGCCTTTGTTTGTTATATTTGTGATTATCATATCTTACAGCTAATGAAAACCCTGCATTCAATATCTCAGACAATTAGAATATTGTGAAAAGTTTCAGTATTATAGACTGAAAGAGTCACACTCTAACGAATCCAAAACACCTGCAAAGGGTTCCTGAGGCGCTAGATGGTCTCTCAGTCTGAGTTATATCACTGAAATGAATGGACTTTTGCACCATTTTCTACTTTTTCAACTTTTAACAGCAATTGCAAAAAGTGAGGGGAGGTTTTGAATTTGTTTTAAGTCTCTTATGATTGCTTGTTCATATTTAAGTCTAATTGTTTTATCTTATTTTTATCTTGTATTTTTTATCTTAACTATTTTCTTTGATGTAAAGCCAACTCCGGGTCGGGAGAGAGGTCCTACCTCAAGTGGAGGAGTTTAAGTATCTCGGGGTCTTGTTCACGAGTGAGGGTAGGAGGGATCGGGAGATCGACAGGCGGATTGGTTCGGCGTCTGCAGTGATGCGGATGCTGAGCCGATCTGTCGTGGTGAAGAGGGAGCTGAGCCAGAAAGCCAGGCTCTCGATTTACCGGTCGATCTACGTCCCAATCCTCACCTATGGTCATGAGCTTTGGGTAATGACCGAAAGAACGAGATCGCGGATACAAGCGGCCGAAATGAGTTTCCTCCGTAGGGTGGCCGGGCTCAGCCTTAGAGATAGGGTGAGGAGCTCGGACATTCGGGAGGAACTCGGAGTAGAACCGCTGCTCCTCTGAATTGAAAGGAGCCAGTTGAGGTGGTTTGGGCATCTGGTCAGGATGCCTCCTGGACGCCTCCCCGGGGAGGTGTTTCGGGCATGTCCTGCCGGCAGGAGGCCCCCGGGTCGACCCAGGACACGTTGGAGAGGTTACATTTCCAATCTGGTCCGGGAACGCCTTGGGGTCCTGCCGGAGGAGCTGGTGGAGGTGGCCGGGGAGAGGACAGTCTGGAGCTCCCTAGTTGGGATGCTGCCCCCGCGACCCGGACCCGGATAAGCGGAGGAAGACGACGACGACATAAAGCTAACTACGTGTCTGTTGCTGCTGCCTCTTGGCCAGATCGTTGTTGTAAATGGGAATGAATCCTCAATCAACTCATCTGGATAAATAAAGGTTAAAAGTTTTTATTTTGAGGCTGACTCAACTGTTGCCACCAGCTTATCTGCTTGAATCTCAATTTCTTCATATCAAGGTCATCAACAGGTGAGATATTAGATGATCCTATTGTCACAAAAACACACCTAAACAATCTCAGCTATTCCTTAGTTATGAAGCTTTCCATTGTTTTCATGTTCAGAAACTAAAACAGAACAAGGTGAAACCAGAGCTGACTTTTCCATTATTAACAACAAAAGTTTTAGCTTAAATTTTCTTTAACATCCTCCTCCTGTTAACCAGTAAAACTGAACTATTCTCCAAATTAAAATATGGCTACTTATAAATATTCTCATGTGAACCAGAGCAATCGTGAAAAATACATGAAAGAGACTCACAGGTCTGCTGCTGAATCCAGAATGGAGCTGCAGGATGAGGATGAAGATGAAGAGGTAGGACCACCAAACTCCTTCTCCCTTATGTAGAGCTGGATGTTTGGCTGCTCCCTCGTTTGTTCAGAGTGGGCTTGGTCTCTTGGTTTGCGTTCATGCAGGCTCTGGACAGAGCTGCAGGCAGATGGATACAGGAAACCTGGTGATGCTTCTTAAACGTGTGACATAATCCAACTTCAGCAAATCAGTTCTGTACGGTGAAGATGAACGATGGAGGAGCTCAACGTTATGTCTTGAGACATTGAAACAACCCGGCCTGACCTCTATCATCATCAGAGTTCATGAATGGCAGCAGATGTTTCAGCTCACCCAGAAGAAACACACAGCTTCCCTTTGGGTGGGCGGTGTGTGTGTGTGTGTGGGGGGGGGTGGGGGTGGGGGGTGGGGGGGTGGGGGGGGTTTACAATACAGCACTGAAAGGTTCTGGAGAAAACCATTCGGCTGTTTACTTTACTGGAACTGATTAACAGAGGAGAAGAAGAAGGAGGCCGCCAACCATTCTGAGGAATTTCTGCTGACGGTTTCTTTTGTGGATCTGGATCTGTAGGCTTGGAGCAGATGTGCTGCTCTCACACTCAAGCTGATGGGCACGTAAACAATGAACACCCCAAACACGAATACCTTCATTAGAGACCAAAGTGAACCTATCAGCTTTTAAGAGCTTTTTAGCTCCGCTGACACATTCGCAAAGCTGATGACTCAGTGTATAAAGTCATGGCCACAAACTCTGAAATATCCATGATCCTCTCGATGCAAAGGAGCAGCAGCTCTATCCTAACCTGGCAAGCCCTCCTGTAGGTAAATCAGCCTGGCCACAACCCACATGAGCTCGGTGGTGGGGCAGAATCTACGCTTGTCTTTCAAACTGACTGCATGCTGTTGGACAGTGCTAGCTGGGACCAATCAGAGCATCAAACAATGTGACATGCTCATTGGTGTGGAAATCAGTCAGCAGGGCAGTCCACAGCACCAAACACAGGTAGAGAAGAAGAAGCAAGCCCATTCTTCTTCAAGATGAAAGACTTAATTACCTCCATCTGCTCATATCTAAACGAAAAGCCCCAGTCTAAATCTTCCAAAGTTTGTGCTAAAACCGTTTAAAACAAAAAACGTTCCTGAGCGATGCCACCTTTGTAGTTTTTAGTAGTAACAGCTCAGGTGCTAAAGTCTGATTTACACTTATCCATCTGTGTCGATGCAGACGCGCAATGCCAGGAAGGCATCAAGATGGCGGCTTGAACAGTCGTGTTTTCTCAGGAGCTCCGAAAGACCGCAGATTTTGTTAAGTAACTTTATTCTCCTACCACTCGAAATACAACTATGGATACCCAAAAAATTATTAAGGATGCAAAGCTGCAATTTGTGCCGTCAAATCCCAATGTTAAGACGTCTCTGCATGCTAAAGTCAGTGACCACGGCTATGCTAACACTGAAGCTGCCAACGTGGGTTTAAACAAGCGAGAACGGGGAGCAGACTCTGCGCCGCCAACTCCATCAAAACAACCGCCGGATGAGAAAAGAACAAAATCTCTAGAGAAGGAAAATGATATCTCCAATAAAACTATTATTGAAGCCATTCTGGGACTTGAGAAGAAATTTGAAGTGCAGCTGGAAGATATCAAGGAACAAAACAGACAAAGTGCAGCTATGGTTGCCAGCTTGGCTAAGGCTGTGGAGTTTAATGCCGCAGAGATAGTTGACTGCAAACTGAAAGTTGTTAATCTGGCAAATGCGAATGAACAGCTGCTTAAAGAAAACGAAGACTTAAAAAGAAGAGTGAGAGAACAAGAGCGCTACCGAATGAGGTGGTGCTTAAAGCTAAAAGGGGTGAAGGAAGGCAAAGACGAAAACATTAGAGTGAAGGTTTTGCAAACGCTTCGGAAGATTGCCCCGACTTGAACTTAGAAGAGGCCGTTGATGTGGTTCATCGCTTAGGGAAACAAGTTGATGGCAGAAACAGAAACATCATTATTTTATTCACACAAAGGCGAATTAAAGAAGAACTGTGGAGGCGCACCAAAGATTCTTCAATCTGCAAACAAGAACGCATCAGCTTCGCAGAGATGTTGCCGCAGGAGGACATACAAGATCAACAGCGCCTATGACCTCTGGTGGAGAAGGCAAGATGTGCGGGTAAACTAGCCTACTTTCGTGGTCCACATGCCTTCATTGATGGATGCAATGTTGAGGACACACAGGAGAACTAAAAATGACAAAAACTGAAATAGTGGAAACTTGTTAGCGGTCTGAGGAGCTCAGCATTTAGTATCTTTCTTCTTTCTCTTTTTCACGTGGTGAGTGATATTCTATCTATAGTTCATGTTGAATGTTAACATTTGTTTTGGTTCTTTAAATGTTAGGGGTTTAAGAGAATCTGTTAAAAGAAATGCCTTATTTTTGTACTGCAAAGGTAAAAAATCAAACTGTATTTTCCTACAAGAGACTCATTCATCTGATGTATCTTTTTGGTCAAGCCAATGGGGCAGCAAAATCTTGTTTAGCCATGGCTCAACAAGGTCGGGGGGTGTAGCAATTTTATTTAATAACTTTCCTGGGGATCTTGTAATACAACGAACTGACTTGAATGGTCATTGGTTGATCGCTGTAATGAGAGTTGAAAGTTTGTTTTTCATTTTAGTCAATGTTTACGGATATAACAATGAAAATCAGAATAAAAATATGTTAGAAGATATAACTTTAAATATATCTGAACTTAAAGATCGATACCCTACATATATTTTAATGGGTGGCGATTGGAATATGACTCCTGATGAATGGACTGATAGATGGCCTTCAAGGACAGGTAGACCACAAAGAAATAACCTAATTATAGAATTTTTGATAAACAACAATTTGACAGATATTTGGAGAGTAAGAAATCCAGAAATTAAAAGCTTTTCCTGGTTTAAACCAAATAGAACTTGTAAATCTAGAATAGACTATTGGCTAGGAAGTGGCAACATTCTTAACCACACTGTAAATGCTGTGATGTCAAATGCACCTCTTTCTGATCATTGCTTTATTGAACTATGCTTAAAATCGGAAATTAGACAATCAAATAAAAGAACTTATTGGAAGTTCAATGCCAAACTTTTACAAAATGAAGATTACTGCAACATAGTCAAAAAAATTATAAAAGATATTATGGCTGACCGTTTAATTGTAGGATATATCAGTAAATGGGAATTCATTAAATTCAAGATTAGAGAATTTACTATTCAATTCAGTAAAAACATAAGTCGAAAGCAAAGAGAATATGAATGTAAATTATTCCAAGAAATTATTTATTACTGTAGTAAGGATGATCTAGATAGCCAAGAAAAGAGTAAACTTATGGAGTTGCAAACTAAATTAGATCAGCTCTACCTAAATAAAGCAGAAGGAGCTTTTGTGCGTTCACGCGCTAAATGGATAGAGGAGGGGGGAAAAATTCCTCATATTTTTTTTATTTAGAAAAGAGCAGACAGAAAAGAAATCTTATATCTTCCCTGTTAATTGATGGTATGGAATGTGACGACCCTAAAATCTTGGAAAACGAAACTTATACATCCTATTCTAATTTATACTCCTCACAGTTCTCCCAAGCAGACTGTGATGCCTTTTTTGATCAAATAGATAATCTGATCCCTAAAATTAATGAATCATTTAAGGAAATTTGTGAATCTGAATTGAAGAGTTAGATACATTGGTTAAGAAAATGGCGCTTAATAAATCCCCTGGTCCAGACGGGCTTATAGTTAATTTCTTCCAATTTTTTGGGAAGACTTAAGGGAAATCTTATTCAAAGCTATACTGGCCAGTATTGAAAAGGGAGAATTGATGTCTAGCATGAAACAAGGATTAATTACATTAATTCCTAAACCAACCAAAGATAAGCGACAATTGGATAACTTAAGGCCCATAACTTTATTAAATACAGATTATAAAATTTTCTCTAGCTCAATTGTAACAAGGCTTAAACAAGGGGTTTCAAGTATAATTAGTGAGACACAATCAGGGTTTTTGAAAGACAGGAACATTCATAACAATATCAGATTGGTTTTAGACTTACTGGACTACAATGATCTAATTCGTGATGACAGTTTTATTCTTTTCTTGGACTTTTATAAAGCTTTCGATTCAGTAGAACATCCTTTTATTTTAGAAACACTAACTCGATTTGGATTTGGGGATAAATTTAGGAAGATAATAGATATACTGTATAATGATATAAATAGCTCTGTGTCGTTGGGCCATGGCACTGGTAAAAGATTTAGCATTAAAAGAGGAATTAGGCAAGGGTGTGGAAGCTCTCCGCTGTTATTCATAATGGTTGTGGAGATGCTCGCAATTCTAATTAAAAATAGCAATGTGGCCGGAATTGAGATTATGGATAATTCTTTAATAATTAGTCAACTTGCAGATGACACTACTCTTTTCTTAAAAAATGAACATCAAATTCCCCTAGTAAAACAAATAATAACTACATTCTCAAAAGCTTCAGGCTTAAAATTAAATTTAAATAAATGTGAACTATTGGCGTTAAAGGAATGTCAGTCACAGTTTTTGTGCGATATACAGGTGAAGAAGGAGGTAAAATGTTTGGGCATCACAATTTCAAAAGATCACAAAGTCTTAGAAAAAGTGAATATTTCAGATAATGTTGACAAATGTAAGACAATCTTAAATAACTGGTTACAAAGAGACATCACAATTTTTGAAAGAATATTATTAACCAAAATGGATAGTTTATCTAGATTTATATATCCAGCTTATTCTTTAGCAATATCAAATAAAGTTATTAAAACAATTAATAGCTTAAATTTTAATTTTATTTGGAGGAATAAATGCCATTATATATCTAAAGATGATTTGGTTAAACCATACATTGAAGGTGGTGGAAACGCAATTGATTTTGATGTAATGAATGGTGTTTTGAAAGTGAAATTGTTAAAATCCTTTCTAAATAATCCACACTCCATCTGGTTTTTTATACCAAGCAAGGTCTTTAACATACAGGGGGGTATCAATTTTCTTCTAAAATGTGACTTTGAAATTACTAGGCTACCTATTAAACTCTCTGCATTTCATAAACAGGTCCTTCTTTATTGGAAAATGTTATTTAAACATAACTTCACTCCACATAATAGCCCAATTTGGAACAATAGATATATCCTAATGAACAGAAAATCTATTTTTATCCAAGATTGGTTTTCCAAAGGTGTTTGGGCAATTGCCCATTTTGTAGATAAAGGACATGTTCTAGAACATCAAGATTTTTG